CTTCAGCAGAAACCTTAACAATTGTTGACGCAGCCAACATCGACGACGACGCAGAAAAAGCAACACCTATGTCTCGCCTTCCGCGACTTTCGTCGCAGGCGATACAAAAACACAAGCTCTATATTAGATACCCTAAGGATCATTCAGCCCAAGTAAGATTGAAATTGGTCCAGTAATTCCAGAGATCTTTGAAAAATTTACACCGGACACCGGACTGACGAAGGAAGATGGACGCAAAAGGATAGCCTTTTAGGTCAGGCGAGTTAAATGAAAAAAAGGACAATAATGAATATCAGATTTTCATACTTTATTCTTTTAAATTTTTGTTATCCCAATTATTCGCCCTAATCATACACTGTTTCCTGCAATGAGGTTTTCTGCTTTTAGCCAAAGAACAAGATCGATTTTTTTTCTTCTTTTGCAATGGTTTGTGTTCTGCTTGAAAAAATGTTTTGTCATCATTGCAAGAAAAAAATCAACTATATATTTTTGCATACAATTGTATTGACAAGAAAGTTGTCTTCAGCTTTCGGTCATTAACAGTAGCACAATTTAACAACGAAAGATCTCTTCTGTATCTCATCCTTAAAGATATGTGCAATTTTTGGTTTCAGAGTACTATTACTGTTGACAGAAACATCAGGAAACTACAGGGGTTAATGCAGAGTTTACCAACCTATCGAGACCACTTTCTTACATGATATGTAACATACTAAAGGAATATAAAGATACCCGTAAGTCGGCCTATAGAGGTAACTGCATATTTTATTGGAATATATTTTCGGGATTATGCGAGATAATCTTTCACAGGTATAGCTTTGGTGTGTTACAGAGAGGTCGGATGTGGTCAAACTTTGTGTTGCCAGTAAGCTTAGTGAAAATTGTCATATGATTGTTTAGGAAGGGCAACTAAGTGGTTTTCTGACGGTGAAGTTTTTAGAGGATCGATTAGAAATTAAAGTGCCTTAAATTGATTATGCTCATTTAAGTGGAGTACATTGTGACATTCTTTTGCTATAAATATATTAATATTGAATATGAATATATTTTTCATAAAACCTAAGGAAATTCTAGTTGAATAATAGATATGGGAACTGTAAACCAATTACATTTTGCTACAATTTATAAAAAAAATCTTCAAAAAGACTTAGGTTAGTAGAAATAATAATGCAAATTTAAATTTTCTTGAATATGTTAAATTTTATAAAAAAAGAATTGGATCTTCTCTTATATCAGTGTTTGACAAATGGTACTTATTTTTAATATCATACATGTAAACAATGCAGATATTAACAACTTATTTTTAATATCATACATGTAAACAATGCAGATATTAACAACTTATTTTTAATATCATACATGTAAACAATGCAAATATTGAACCAATTTGTTGTCAAAGTAAACTATGATGAACCATGAAGATTTCTGCCAGAATAACATTAGTTTTCTGTTAGATATGGGTTAGCCTTCAACATGAAATAGGAAATCTCCAGAAAATCTATTTCATTTGAATGAAAGGCAAGGTGAGCACTAACATTACTATAATTTCAAGCAATTTGTTGTTATATTTTTTTTTATCGGGATAGTACAGATAGAATCTGATAAAAAGAGAGTCATTAGTGCTAAATGGGCTAAAAATAAATATATCAGTAGATTTCTCAGGTATATCTATTTCCATAGAGTCTGATGTTAAATATTCTTCCCCCTCTAGGTTGGGTATACTGTTTTTCCCCTTAAAACAAGGAATTATTTGAATCTGGAATAATTTTGAATTCTGGAAAATTGATGAGAAATTTATGATGAAAACTAACCCAACTAAATAGGGTTAGCCATGCGTGCATGGCTAAGGGGGTGAGTTAGTTCATACTGAAATGATAGTGAAAGTAAAATCAACCTTAGCCATGCGCGCATGGCTAACCCTATTTAGTTGGGTTAGTTTTCATCATACATTTCTAATCAATTTTCCAGAATTCAAAATTTATTCCAGATTCAAATAATTCCTTGTTTTAATACCCATCTTTGTGTTGTCCCATCCTTATTTCCAACCATCCATTGAAATATCCCCTACCTTTTTTTTAGTAACTACAATCCACACAAAGTGACGAACTTTCTACAATTCTATATCCAGTTTTTAAGTGAGGATGCTTTACTGTATGATAAATTTTCACATTCTTTGATCATCAACTTCATGTTTACTGGACACTTAAGGTCAAGGAACAGTAAATGGGCTATGTCACAGATTTTGGTAAAATTTTGCATATAACTTGGACTCGTTGAATTATATCTGAAAATCGAAAAATAATACCTTTATCTTGTTTATTTTCTGAAATATTACTGATTGAAATTCTTTCAAAATAGATGAACATTTGTATAGGAAGCACGTGAAATCGAAGAAAAACGTTCATAAATTTACCTTAAAATCATCATGTTTTAAATTTTTACTATTTAGATTTTTCTTAAAAGACTATATGTTGTTGAGACACAAATTTTTGTTTTAATGATATAAAATAATCATATGGTCATTGACTTCGTTTTTTGTGTATTAACCAATCCGTTACCTTGAATGTAGTGAAAAACGTCAAAAATAGACGTTTTACAGTCTGCAACACGATGACGTTATAATTATTTCAACGTTTTTTTATATTTGTTCACCTAGTACACCACTTTGATTGATGTATACCGTAAAAATGAAGTCAGTGACCCTATTATTATTTTACACCATTAAAACAGAAATTCATGTGCTTTCTATAAAAATGGGCACCTATTTTGAAAGAATTCAATCCGTAAAATTTCAGAAAAAAAATTTGTAAGGGTTCCGCAGAACCCAGTGTCTCGCCTACTTTTGCTGTTGTCTATGTTTTCAGTGTGATAGGGGAATGTACATAATAGATTTACAGTTTATGAATCTAATAAATGTTTTAAAAACTTCAACTGCAGACTGTATGTAATGTTAACTGGAAGAAAAACTAAGTCCATTTATAAGTAATATACAGAAAAACTGGAAATAAATTTTTACAAAATTTCCATCTAGATACTAGCTTTTGATCATAAACAAGCTTCTGTTCAGTTTTGGTACAAATCCAGGATAGTTTAAGAAAGTTATTAAAATTTTTAAAACTTTAACCACAGAGCGAATGTAATGTTAACTGGCAGAAAAACTAAGTCCATTTATAAGTAAAATACAGATAAACATGATTTTTTTTTAAACAAAATTTCTTCTGAATACTATCTTATGATCATAAACAAGCTTCTGTCCAAGTTTGGTAGAAATCCAGGATATTTTAAGAAAGTTATTAAAATTTCAAAAACTTTAACCACAGAGTGAATATTTGTGGACGCCGACGACGACACCGACAACGGAATGTAGGATCGCTATGTCTGGCTTTTGCAACAAAAGTCGCAGGCTCGACAAAAAAGAGGTAAAGGCATTATCTTTCGATTTTCAGATACAGTTCAATGATCTAAAGGTGTATGCAAAATTTTGAGAAAATCTGTGACATAGCCCATTTACTGTAACTTGACCTTAAATGTTTCTACACTAGCCATGTATGAAATTGTCATCTAATGACCTAGGAATTAGAGCTACCTGAAACTTGGTATCAGGCTTCATGTGAGCCTGCTGTACCATGTGTTGCCTGTTTAATCCACTGCTAATCAACTTCCTGTTTACCTAATACTTAAACTGGGGCTATCAATTGTGAGCAATAACTCATGGTTCAACTTTTAATCTTTCATGATTTTGAAAGCTAAGTTTAGTAATCAGCAGTCAAATTTTATAATGAAGTTGTTGATGGGTATTTGTCTTTTTCTTCAGTTAACCTCTTAAAAGTTATTTTGCCTTCAATAACTTCAGGTTATACCGAGAAAAATGACATTTCGTAACCTCTTAAAATTTAAACCTTTCCCAGCTATTACAGTATTAACCACATGATTACTATGTTTGATTGTACACTTGAATTTGAATTCTAAATTCTTACCAAGTTGGAGAAGTTAACAGATGTCAGATAAACAGGACTTGAGTAGAAAAGTTTGTTCCAAGGAGGAAATCAGGGCCCTGAACTCTAAAGTAGCGTTATATTAATCAGTAATCTGTCATCAGAAGCCATTATTCCACAACAGGAAATTATTAGTGATGTTACGCAGATGAGGACCATAGCTAATGTACATGAAAGTCTGGTATTTATTTGTATTACTTAGGCCATGAAAAGTAATTCTTAAAGTCTCACCTTAAAGCAAAGACCAAAAAAATTGGTAGAATAATATTCCTATGGTTAACATTTTAATGAATATATATGCCAACTTTTTCGTAAAAGATTATCTGTGAGCAATAAAAGAGGAAGTTGAAGTACAGAACAAAATGGCCAAAATCAAAACTATGACAAGACAAATAACAAATCAGTCCATAAATTATTACACATAGTACTAGTGGTTGAGGAACATGAACCCAACAATCAAAGTGTAAGTGAGTACTAAAGGGTAAAGATTGCTTTCATTTTGCAATATGAACTTAAGATTAAATATAATGGAATAATTTGAATAAGAGTAATCTAAGTTATCTTCCTTTGTTCATGATTGCATGATTGTAGTTGAACCAACATATAAATTTATATGCCATGCACAACTTATGTAATTTATTATTATGTTTTTTTCACCACTGAGGTTATACGCATAGAAATCAATTTGAAACTTAAATATCTGAGTAATGTTATGAATAAGTTACATGACATGTGTCTGGTTAGGTACTCAACAATGTTATCCTAACTACGCTATGGTGTTTAAGCTCTCGAAGGTAGAGATGAGGCCTGGAAATAAAACTCAAGGCAGTGACAATTGGGGTTAGATTGCATGAAAAATGTGATAATACTCATGCACTTGTTAAGGATAAACAGCTTGAGTTCCATCAGTAGAATCCATCACATTACCCATGACTAGCAAATATCTGGTCTTGCTCTGTGAGGTACATGTAGCTCAAAAATAGTCTCTAACATATGAAAAGAACATTGTTATTTATCTCAATTTTATATATATAAACATACAATCAACATCAATATATCACAAATTAAACAAAATAATATTGCACTGTTTAAAAGGATGAATAACTTTTTCATCAATTCTATTCATAGATAGTAATCATGATTATATATGTTTGCTAAATAAATACTGCAATGTTTTTAAAGTGGCGTTTTGTAATTATTTATCTTCGCATATCAATGTTCAAAAAGCTTGTATTTAATGCTTGTCAATTATGTAGGCTGATTTAGTCCATAAAGTTAACATTTTTGGGAAACATGGAACAGTTACAATAATATGCAACATTGTAAATCATTCGCACATAAGCAAATATTATGAATTTTTTTTTCTCAAAAAAACTGTTGTATTCATATACTGCTGGATCATAACTCCATGATGACTTTTATATCACAATAAAACAATACATGCTCGTAGTTATCCAGTTCTAAATGGATATGATTATTATGCAGATGAACCATTCTGTGTTTTGTTCATGACTTCCTCAAGTTTATGTAACAATGTGTCTAGATTGGCTGGTTTAATGTGTGGATGGCTTTTCTGGTATAACTGGAACAGTGAGACATATTCTGTATAGGAATAATCTGGTCCTTTCTCCACAATCAATGACAGCACATCCTATAAAAAGACAAGCATGAATCAAAGTGATTGTAAGCACTGTAGGGTAAATTGCTTTAATTTATCAGTGGAAAGTGAAATTAAATATTGCATTGTATAAAGCATTGGTTGTAAGTGATTCAGGTGGCAGGTACCAGTTTTGGTGTACCAGAACATATGTCCCACGCAGAAATTTTGTTATAGTTAAGCAATGAGGTAAATAATTGCATCATGTGGACTGAAAAAATAAATGAATGTAAATTCTAGGCTATTATACTACATAAGTAAGTAGTTGCATAGACAGGTTGGGGATTTCCTTCACATATGGGTCCAATCAGAAGTCAAAATTGTGGTCTCCTCTCTTGACGGCATCCAATCAAAGTGGGGAAAAAATTCAGTTTTATGTAAACAAAAATATCTTGAGATTTTGATGGTAAGGATAGGTGCGGACAAGGCTCTAATTCATTAAATATCATTTATCTCTTGAATTTTGCCTAAAATTCTTGTCTGACATTAGCAGGATTCTGAAGGTGAGGATTAGATTTGTATCAGAGCATCACATTTTTTGCCTTATTTGCAATGCATTTATAAATTTTCAAATCTCCATGCTGGACAGACACCCAAATTTAAAGGTTTTCTATATATTCACATAAGCATGTACACATCTTAGTTACTCGAAACCATAAATTTTACTTGTATATAAGTTTGAATGATTTTTCAAGAAAATTAAATCATAAATCAATGAAATTCTAAAGATTTATTGTAAAATAACTGGTTTCTGCCACCTCAACTACAATTCTCGACAAAGGAAGATAACTCCATTTTTTTAAGATGACTTTAACAATGACATCATTGATATTTTTAGAACAGATATTAGATTCCTGCACCTTGCAAAAGTTATGCAATTTTCTTGACAAGTATAACATCATTTTGTGACTTGAATATATGAGCATATATTTCATTGATAAATTTCTGGAATAGTTCATGGATGGGATGTATAGAATGTTATGATCAATGCACTATATTTTGTGTATCTCAAAGGTAGTGATAAACCTTGGAAGATTTAGATATCAAGTCAGTACCATAGGGTTTTGATTGCATTTCATGCAATCTTTACCCAAAAACTATCATTTAAAGTCCCAATATCCTAACTAACTTGGAATTTTTGTCAACCATTCAAATCTTTTTCTGTATAAATTATGCAGATTTATTTTCTTTTAAAGTACTTAAATACTTTGGACGTATCTATATATTTTAAAACACTTAATATTTAGCTAATTTCTCCTGTTATGAAATTAGCTAGCAACAGGATAGCCATGGTAGCCATCAGAGAGGGCCCTGCAGAATGTTAATAAGTAAATTGTGATGAAATTAGGGTTATTCAATGCACATGTATAAGATTCAAGATTCAAGATTTTATTGACCAATCATGGACCCTCAAAGGGCATATACTCAAAATTTGAAAATTTCACAATGATTATCATAGAATAGAAAATTATCAAAGATATATTGCTAGTGCACAAATAAATGTACAAAAAGAGGCAAACAAAAATATGTATTGTATATTGTGTATCATGGAATTTGATATAGTTAATAATTAGCGTATAATTAAATTGGAAGGTTTTCTAAGATATGCTCCCTTATTTTCAATGTAATTTTTATATCTTCCATAGTCATTAATCATATAAATCTGTTAAGACATACAAAGTTAGGAAAAGCTGTCCATTCTGTGGTAATAAAGTCAATCAAAAATTTTCTTCGCTAAAAAGAGAACATTATAAGAGGAAATGAATTTCCACCTCGACATCATAAGAGAAACATCTGTCACATATTCATTCTTCATAAGGCACACTTAGTTAAGTGTATCGCCCAGTATCAACCTTTAACTTGTAGTTACTTAATCTGAACTTTGTATAGTTTTTTTCTTTTTCTTTTTTGAAGTCTTGTATAACAACAGGCATGTCTAAGTTCAACTACTGTGAAAGTGCTTTTATTCGGGGGTTTTAATTTTCGTGGTTTGAGCAAAAGTTACATGTTCGTGGGTTGTTAAATTCGTGGATTTTAGTTTTCTGAAGAAAAAAAATAAGGAATTTGGAGCAATCAGAAATGAAGATTCTTTATAATAATCATATGTAGTTTTATATGATTTGTGGACATTGAAAAATTAGGTGTTTTTTTTCACTTACTTGTTCCGTCTTTCATAACTGACAACATTCAACAAATTTTTAATAAAATAATTGCTTTCAGAAATATGCTAAGCTGATTCATAAATGACAAATTTATCTCGATTGAAGGAAACTGCAAAGTAAACATTTGAATTGTTGCTCACGTGTAACAAAGTGATGACACTAATTAACCAGAGATCGAATGATTAACAGATTAAAAATCATCAAAGGTGTTAATTGTTTCATAAACATGTTACTTAAAAAAAAGGCTACATAAACAAATTCATAAATATATTTTGAATTGTAGAATTAGTTTTAATTCCAACATGAAATATTTTTTTTCCTATGAGAATTTTGAGTAGATAACATGAACACTTCATCATAGCATATCATTACCGGAAATTTGACTTTCATCGATCGAAACAAAAATTTATGCGGATTAAAAGGTTCAAAGTTGTACAGTTTAGGTTTTTAAAGATTACATGGATAAAAGCCTGCCTGCAGTTGTATATAAAAAAAAAATAGTTCATAGTGCGTTTGGCGATATTCGATGTGTTATTAGTAACAGTGACCTTGAACTTTGATCTATCGACATAAAATCAATAGGCTTCTGTCCCTTTCCATTATCTACACAATGTATATTTTTTAATCAAATCAAACAAGGGTTATTCGAGTTACCATCTTGACAGAAAGATAGGACAGATGAGCAATGCCATTACTGCCGGTATATACTTCTGATTTTTTTTTAAGCGGCATAAAAAGCACTTACATCAGGGTTCATATAAAGGAGCTCATAATACTGTCTTGCATGATCCAGGTCTGTTTCTCTAGCCATTGTAATGTTGGTCAGGTTTTGTTGTATGGCAAATAAATTTCTACACCTAAAATATTAAATCCAATGAATAATTTCAGAAAACTTTCCTCTTGCATTTTAAACATGGATATAAGCTTTTGATCACATTAATTCACAGATGCAGGCATTACAACTATTTAGTATCTATTTTCTTTATTTTCCTGCCCAGGCATTAGCTATGAGTATCTTGACAAAGATGACTTTGTGAAATTTTGGAAATAAAATTATAACAAAAGACTTGTAGGTTTCTATATCATACTAGATGCATATGAATAATACTGATTTTGCAATGAAATATTCCTGAGAGGAGACATAATTCAAAAATGTGTGGTCCAAGAAAGCTCTGTTATTGTAGAGAAAGGAAACTGATGAATGATTTATTCAATTTGTTCCATATATATATAGCAAAATTTGCAAGGTTCAATATATTTTCAATATTGAAAGTCGTCTTGTAAAGTTTTCTTTTGAATCATTGTCTGTAATTTCATTTACCTTGTGTTCAGTTGCTTAAAAAAATTTAAATTGGTCAGACAAATAGCATATCCAGTATTTTTGTTCCCTAAAAATTTCTACATAATTTGGTAACTGGTTGAGGACCACACTAATTAAATATATTCAGGATCAAGACTTCCTTCTTGTCAAATTTTCCCCAAAATATTCCTATATAATGAAATTCAGAATATGACATAAGAAAAACACAAAAAGAAAACATCGCTAATTTGGTTTGGCCTTTAAAATGAGGAAATTTAAACTCTGCAAAATATACCACTTAACAGTATCCATCTCAAAAAAATATTTTAACTCACAAAATGTCTGACAACAAAATCAACATAAATTTTAAAACAAAGAAAAAACTGTTAAGATCATTTCATCACACAAATACATCCAAATATAGAATATAAGAATTCCTTTATATGGATATTGTAAAATATCAATTTGCAGAAACCTGTTTATCAGTATCATTATTAAAAAAACAGTGCACTGGAATAATCAGTGTGTGATAATGTTTGTCAGTTACAATTTAAAGATCATTGGTTGACCCTTGGGTTTCTTCTACTAAATGAACTGAGCATCATCAAAATAAGCAAAAATGTGCAAATGCACATAGTGAAAATAAATTCCATGAAAAACAGAAAAAAAAACCTCTCCACAAGCACTACAAAAAATCCAATACCCTAAAAAATATTTCACTATTATTTACAACTTACATTTTCTTTATACCATTCTCATTTATCTTTTTCAAGTACTGTATACTACTCATTAAAATGGATGAAACTAAAAATCCAAGACTTTCAAATATATATCTGCAATAACAAACATATTATTACTTCATGAGAATGTTAGTGTTATTGGTTGCTGACTGCCATATTTGTTGTTCATTTCTTTTTTATCATAAATCAGGCTCTTGTTTTTTTTTGCTTTAATTATTTCACATTTTGTCATGCAGGGGCCTTTTATAGTTTATTATATATATGGTATGAGTTTTGTATATTGTTGAAGCTGTACAGGGACCTCTAGTTGCTCAAATCCACATCATTTGGTTTCTGGTGGACTGATGGATAGTTGTCTCAAGGGCAATCATACAGCATTTCCATCTTGTTATAAGGCCACCTTTAAAAATTATTTGATGTTGCCTACCCATGCCTCAAGGGGTTTGGTAGGTAGGTAGGGATTTTATTTTTTTATGGCCAACAACATAAGTTACAAGTTTTAGACAAGAAAACAATGTTAGAGCAGGAAAAAAATATTTGAAAAAAAAAATTTGAAACAATTTGTGTCATATCATTTCAGCAAAATGTTAAGCAGTTTGGCAAATGCATAAAAAAAGAATAATCTTATCTATAAATACTCAATCATTTCTTTCTATCTATAGCCACAGTGGTTATGTCATTTAGAGGGAACATAAAACAACATTTTGACACAAAACATCTTAAGTATCATTCAAGTCAAGTTTCATTCACTATTTATTGTTCTGGTGATGACTATATCCACTGCTTGTATGAGAGTAGCAAGACAAAAGAAATATAACTGGTGCCTAATGAACTAAGCTTTCAAGAAATATGTCAGAAATGTATACACTGTTTATAAACACAACCTGACACTATAATGATATGCAATCATAAGGTTTCTTTCAAAGAAAAACTGTCATTTTATTTTCATATGAAAATAAAAACCTTTAGTTCACAAGTTAAAAAAATCCTGTAATTTCACTCTGTGATGATTTAAAACAACAGGTGTATATTATGCAACATCATAAAGAATGCTTAGAAAAAGATGTAGTTCCTTGCAAGTTCTACTTTATTTAAACTAAGTCAATGTAATAAAAAGAATAACTAATCCAAGAATTCAAATATAAAAAAATATTCAACATGTGACTTAAGAGATGTGATCAATAACTCATGTGCTGGGTTTATTCATAAATTATTGTGTTGTTCCCTCACTTTTTGCATATTTATCAATATCTGCATTCTTGGATAAGTTTTCCTATAACCTCAGATAATAAACCCATTTTAAACTTACTTAAATTTTTGTGGTTGTAAGCTCTGAACCAACATTTCTTCCATTGCAGATAAATCTTTATTTAGTTTAAGTACATTTGAATCTGGATCAAGATCATCTATAGGACCAGCATAATTTGACTGAAAAAAAAATCAGTTGAAAATAGAATCTGTTCATTAACTAACGGTTATTGATTCCCATACTATTTTCTTTCAAGCTATAAATTTTTAAATATTGAGAACATCCACTTTGACTAAACCATGCCTGCAATCTAAAATTTTAAAACTTTGAATTAGATGCAATAATGTATAGTAAACCAAATCTGACCTGGCATGGAATCTTTGTCTAGAATTCCAGGCATGCATGCAATACAATAGTAAATAAATCATAATATCATACCTTACATATATGATAAACATTTCTATTGGGTAAGACATTATCATGTGACATGGAATTATTCAGTTATTTTTCATTTTAATGCAAGGAAGGATTATTACCCTAGAAATTAACAGCCAGTGATGAATAACCCTTTTATTCACCAGTGAATAAATTTGAACTTCTTGATTTGTGCATGAATTGTCTCCCATCAAAATGATGTATCAGGCATATGTTAACAAAATGGCAAAAGACATCAAGTGACAATGAAACAAAGCTTGGAAATTTATCTAGTGCCAAGGATATCTTTCGTAAATAGCCCTTTTCAGGGCCATCAATATTTTACAGAAAGAGTCTACTTATGTTGTACATATGAGAAATTCTAGGACATAAATAATTATATAACGTAAGTGTTTTGACAATCTGTTACTACAGTTAATGTAAGTGCTTTTTCAATGGTTCAAAAGCCATCTACTATAAGTTTGGTATAATTTCACAATTGTGGCCCCTTAAAAGAAATGAATATTCACCTTTTTTATGGGCTATAATTGTATACTGTGGATTCATTTATTTTCGTGGGTATCAATTTTCGTGGATTGAAGAAAACTTGCATGTTCGTTGATATTTGATTTCGTGGTTTTGCCAATCTCTGTATACAAAGCCTATTGAAAATATGATATTCGTTGAACATTTGAATTCATGGTTCACCTGTACCCACGAAACCAACGAAAATTGGTATCCAACGAATAATAATGAATCCACAGTTATATACTTTAGATGCTTGGTATGCTCAGTAAAACATCCATGCAGTCCAAATATAAGAATATAGATATAATATAGAAGTTTATAATGTTATACCTGTTTTGCCACTGGTAACAGGAAGTAGAAACAATGAACTCTGACCTCCAAATGCAACAACAGCAAACAAATTTCAGCTAAGTCTTGGAAATCTTTAACTAACATTTTAAGTGATCTGAAATATTCAAAGGTGCAAACATAAAATGAATTAATGACTAATATTTTGGGTCAATACAAAACAATCTAGATACAACAACGATGAAATAAAATATGCAAGAAAAAATGCATTAACAATAACTAAATTTTTCCCAGTGGAAATTCAAGTAGTAAAATAACCAATCTCTGTTCTTAGTTCTACCCTTGTGTCAGTTTTTATTGAGGAGTTTAATAGAAATTAATGGAAACTTATGTGCATAGTGTTTTGTATTCTGAATCATGGTCCTTCCCTTTGCATATATCACCCTGCTTAGTAGCTCTGTACTTTTTGTATCACTGCTTTGAAACCTGAGCAGAACTTATAAGCTATGTCACAATGTTTAAGCTGAAGTTATCAGCGATGTCACAATATATGTGCAGAAATTATCAAGCATACTTTTGACAAGCGTAAAATTGTCTAAGGGTGGGGGAAAAGACCAGAAATAGCATTATAACAGATTATCTGGGCTTTTAGCTGATATCAAAGTGCAGAAAACCTAATAGTCTTCACTAATTGAACTTGATCGTCTCATAATTGTTAGATCACTTGTCGACATCTACCTGAAAACCCATTGTTTCCTTCTACTACTCTTTCTTTCGACTTAATTTAAGACAATAACCATCAAAGCATACACAAAATAATATTGAAAGCCATGGAATGAAGCAATTTTGTAAATTATTACAAGGTATGCTATGTGTACCCTCATTCATGCAATAATAGTATTGACTAAAACAGGAGAATTCTAATGAGAAAGAAGTCAAAAAATAGAACATTAACTCATCAAAAAAGATTTCAAAATCGAATGTTAAAAGTACTTACTCCAAAGACTTATAGCTAATGTTTACAGTACTCAATCCAGTGACTTACAGCTAAAGTTAACAGTACTTTCTCCTGTGACTAACATCTAATGTTTACAGTTCCTACTCAAGTGACTTATGGTTAATGTTAATTGTACTTTCTCCAGTATATAATGTTATAAGTACTTACTCCAGTGACTTATAGCTAATGTTATAAGTACTTACTCCAGTGACTTATAGCTAATGTTATCAGTACTTACTCCAGTGACTTATAGCTAATGTTATCAGTACTTACTCCATTGACTTATAGCTAATGTTATCAGTACTTACTCCATTGACTTATAGCTAATATTATCAGTACTTACTCTAGTGACTTATCAGACACAGGTGGGTATTCCTGAAAATATAGAAAAAATAGGCTGCATTCTTAAAAGATTATGTGTATTCAGATATTTTTGTGGGTACTCATTTTTGTTGATAAAGGTTTTTTTTTGCATTTTGTTGACACCTTCTTTTATGGTTTCATCAAATTCTGCATACCTGCCTAAAGTTTGTATTTTACCCAAAACCTAACTTAATGGTTCACCTATACCCATGAACTATGAATATAAGTATTAAACAATACTGTATCCACAGTTTAACATATCCAAACAAGAATATGATCTATCCACAGCATCATCATAAACTTCCTTGACCATGACCTGATATGGGACGGACAAACAGATGGACGGATGCACTGACCAGAAAACTAAATGCTCCTCTTCTATAGTAGATGGGGTATAAAAATTTGTTTTCTCAAAAAGTACTTCTCTGAAATATATCAACAGCAAAATAAAGAACTTATTCAATATTAACTTTTCTGACATACCATGTTTTCTCCTCTCAATTAATATATTATTAATCATATGGTCAGTAAATTGCAGAAAATTTGGACGTAACAGGCTACACTCAGCCTTAAATATACATAAAAAGGATAACAGGCTACACTCAGCCTTAAATATACATACAAAGGATAACAGGCTACACTCAGCCTTAAATATACATACAAAGGATAACAGGCTACACTCAGCCTTAAATATACATACAAAGGATAACAGGCTACACTCAGCCTTAAATATACATACAAAGGATAACAGGCTACACTCAGCCTTAAATATACATACAAAGGATAACAGGCTACACTCAGCCTTAAACATACACAAAAAGGATAACAGGAATTACCAAAAATACAACAGACCATACCATCCATAAATATTCAACAATTCCAAGAAAACAGACATACAAACAGTACAACAGACCATTACACCCATAAATATTCAACACCTCCAAGAAAACAGACATTGCTCGTTGTTGAAGGCCGTACAGTGACCTATAGTTGTTAATTTCTGTGTAATTTGGTCTCTTGTGGAGAGTTGTCTCATTGGCAAGCATACCACATCTTCTTATTTTTATATATACAAACAAAGACAAATAACAACAAACAACTAACGATCCAGAAAGCTAAACTTGGTACAGGCACAAAATGTTGGGTTAAACCAGTTTTACATGGACATAAACCTCCCCCTCTGTGCCATATACATCAGGACAGAGCATTTTGGGGACATTGCTCCTTTATTTGGATTCTAATGAATGCTTGAAAAACATTAAATGAGAATAATAATTTTTCGCCATGAGCAAGGAGCATTTGATATCATAACATATGATAGAGCAATGATAAACATATAATAGTACCAGTAAATACTTTACTTACCCTGGTGGATAATTCTATTGAACTCATGGAGGTGGGTGATCTGGCTGATAGTAACTGGCAAAACTGTCTCAATCTTCCAGCAAACCATTCCTGTTCAAAAGAAATTTTCAAAATGATATTTATTGGTGGATGTCAACATGTGTCATTGCTCTTTCTTTTTGCTCCTAATGTACTTCATTTGTTGACTATCTTGATACAGATCATATCAAACAAAATAGTGCTGTTGCATATTGATAATTATCCTGTTATTTTCTAAAATAGTAACAAAATAAATGGGGAATGTGTCCATGGGACACAGATGATGCCCCCGCTTGCATATAACGTTATAAAGGGATATAACTCAAGAACTGTTAAAGTGACAACCCAAATTTGTACTTGATTTGAGTTTTGTGGTAATAAGCATTGTGCATATGTTTCATAACATTTGGTTGAGGCAAACTAAAGTTAGAGAACAGAAACAAATATTTCAGGAATTTTTCCATTTGTAAAGGGGCATAACTCTAGAACGGTAACAGTGACACCACCAAAATTCAAACTTGATCTGAGTTTTGTGGTAATAAGCATTGTGTAAAAGTTTCATAACATTTGGTTGAGGCGAACTAAAGTTAGAGAACAGAAACGAAAAATTCAGCAATTTTTCCATTTGTAAAGTGGCATAACTCTAGAATGGTAAAAGTGACGCCACCAAATTTGAAACTTGATTTGTGTTTTGTGGTAACAAGCATTGTATATAAGTTTCATAACATTTTGTTGAGGCAAACTAAAGTAAGAGAACAGAAACCAAAAATTCAGTAATTTTTGCATTTGTAAAGGGGCATAACTCTAGAACGGTACAAGTGACGTCACCAAAATTCAAACTTGACGTTTGTTTTGTGGTAATAAGCATTGTGTATAAGTTTCATAACATTTGGTTGAGGCAAACGTAAGTGAGAGAACGGAAATGAAAATTTCAGCAATTTTTCCATTTGTAAAGGGCATAACTATAGAATGGTAAAAGTGATGCCACCAAAATTCAAACTTGATCTGTGTTTTGTGGTAATAAGCATTGTGTATATGTTTCATAACATTTGGTTGAGGCAAACTAAAATTAGAGAACGGAAACTAATTTTGGGACGTACGGACGGACAAGGGTAAAACTTAATACCCCATCCACTATGGCGGGGGCATAAAAAGTACTGTTAATTTATTAACATTTTCTTTTCTCAGATGATTATCATTTATTGATTTCCATTGAGTGAATTATTATTAAATATTAGAAACAGTAAACAATAGTATTATTATTCAATCAATCTTTTCGGTGTTCCCTATTAGATGAGAATCTAAGATTTACTTTTCATGGCCTACATACCGTAATACAATTACATACCAGACTTTCATGAACATTAGCTATGGTCCTCATTTGTGTAACATCTGTAATAATTTCCTGCTGTGGAATAATGGCCTCTGATGATAAATTACTGATCAATATTAACGCTTCTTTAGAGTTCAGGGTCCTGATTTCCTCCTCAGAACAAAGTTTTTTACTCAAGTCCTGTCTCTCTGACATCTGTAAACTTCTCCAACTTGGTAAGGATCTGTAATTCAAATTCAAGTGTAGAATCAAAGACAAAAAACATGTGGTTAATACTGTAATACTACTTAGAAAGGTTACAAAATTCCTGTCATAATCTCAATTTAACCTGCAGTTATTGAAGGCAAAATAACTTTTATGATGTAAACTGAACAAGACCAATACCTATCAATGACTTCATAAAACTTTGACTGCTGTTTAGTTAACTTAGATTTCAAATTCATAAAAGATTAAAAGTTCAGCTGTGAGCTATCATCCACTCATGATACCCTCTATAAGTATTGGGTAAGGAGGAAGTTGATGAGCAATGGATTAAATAGGCATAACACGGTATAACATGCTCACACGAAGCTTGATACCAGATTTCAATGTACTCTGATTTGTAGCTCCTAGGGATAATTTGATTAAAATTTCATACATGGCCATTTAGGGTTAAGAAAATTTAAGTATGCAGTTATCATGAAGTTTGATACCAAATGTCAGGAAACTCTGATTTATAATTACTGATAAAATTGTAAGCAATATTTCATAGGACAAACAGACAGACTGACAAGACATCTCAAACAGGTATAAACTGTATACAAGCTATGAGTGGGGATAATAAAATGTTCCATCAAACATCTGACCTTACAGAATATACATACCTGAGAAATCTACTGATATCTTCATCTTTAGCCCATGTAGCACTAATGACTCTCTTTTCATCAGATTCTATTTGTACTATCCCTATTGAGAAAAATAATAACTTACAATAACATGATTAGATAATAGTAATGCTAGTGTTCTCCTTATCTTTCATTCAAATGAAATAAATTTCTGGAGATCACCAACTTTATGTTCAAATCTAACCCATACATGTGACAGAAAATTATTGTAATTCTGTCACAAATCTTCAGGGTTCATCATAATTTACTTTTGACAAACAAATGATTCATTATTTATATTGTTTACAGATAATGCTATTAAGAATTTCAAATTTTGTTATCAAAATATTTCACCAAATTGTCAAACACTGACACAAAAATATGAGTCTCACTAACAAATACTGTAAACCTTCTGTAAACCAACTTAACGACATTGACTTTTGATGTGGTGACCGGCAATTTTTGATGCACAAATTTCTGTGTATTATTAGTAACTTTGACTCTGCATCAACCTCAAATTTGGTCTCTGGTGGAGAGTTGTCTCATTGGCAATCTTACCACATCTTCTTATTTTTTGATTTTTTATACATATCTGACCTTCTCTGTAGTGTAAACACACTGAAGCTACACCTGTGCATTATTATCTCATATGATTCCAGCAGTAGTAAGACATCATAAACAGTCAGGGGCATTACTTAAACAAGTAACTTTTAAAATTACCTATACAAGTAATGTTGAAAATGAGGCTATTTTAAAAATTACTTATATAGGTAACTTTTCTAAATATTATTTTTATAGGTGTCCAATTATACAGATTTTACTAGCTTTAACAATTTTTCACAGTGATCTGGTTATTTTTCCCATGAAATATAAAATCTAATCCTGAAGAAACACTAATTGCCTTTCTGACGCACTTATCTTTCATATTCACGCTTCTGGGTCAAAGATTGGTCTCTTGGGACTATTAAAATATAGTTTTCCTTGAAAATCTTGAAGATAGACAGATATAAATAGATAGAAACTTGTGAATTAATTAAGACTTGAAGTTATTTATAACTTGTAACCCAAAACAAATATATTTGTTCCATAAATAAGTGTTATTACTAATTCTTTCAAAGATGTATTAAATAACTAATTCAAGTAATATTTTTGTCATTATTTTTAAAGTAACCCTTTATGTCTATATTTCTTTCAAATCTAATAAATTCTCAATTTTATGATATAAAATGATGTAAAAATTCATGAAACAACATATAGTCCATTTTTCTACTGAAATTTAAAATAACTCTATTGAGTAATTTTATAATTTTTAAAAACAAAAATTACCTATATAAGTAACTAAAAAAAGTTACTTGTTTAAGTAATGCCCCTGACTGATAGAATTAAATCAAATTATACAGTTACCTCTATAAGCTGAGTTACAGGTATCTCTATATTCCTTTAGTATGTTACATATCATGTTAAGAAACTGGTCCCCATAGGTTGGTAAACTCTGCATTAGCTCCTGTAGTTTCTGAATGTTTCTGTCTACAGTAACAGTACTCTGAAATCAACATCGCACATGATTTTAAATAACTTTGTATTTAACGTTAACTTTTTCAATGTACATTTGTAGATATAAGTTGTACTTTTTTAACAAAAGTGCACTCAGTGAAATGTAACAGTATCTTAAAAAGACCAAAACACAAAAACTTAACATTGAACAATGAACCATGCAGATGAGGTCAAGGTCAGATGATACCAGCCAAAAAGACATGTTCACCTTACAATCAAGTTGACCTGCTGCTTTTGTATCCGAGACACAGACCAAAACACAAAATCTAACATTGACCAATGAACCATGAAAATGAAGTCAAGGTCAGATAAAACTAGCCTTTCCAAAATGCACATCTAACAATTATTCCATATAACAAATATGGTTGGCCTATTGCTTATACTATCTGAGAAACAAACCTAATCATTTAACTTTAACCTTGATCACTGATCCATGAAACTATAGTTTTTTTAAGCCGTGGCTTAACCATAATGCATCTACATACAAGGTATGAAGCATCCAGGTCTTCTACCTTCTGAAATATAAAGCTTAAAACAAATAGTTTACGTTGCTGCTGCCAGAAAAATAAATCTCTGTCTTGCATTCTGGTGACAATAAAATATCACAGAAAATTTCAACTTTAGCAAAGTAACCTGCATGAATTTATCTATCATGCTTTTGTTTTCATTCAGCTTTATTGTTTACTTTTTTGTTTGTATCATATTTTGTACTTTCCTGTGTTTTTAATTAGCTTGTTTGTTTTATTACTTGTTTCTTTCAGAATTCCAATTAATAATGATTTCAAAATATCTATGTGGAATCCTTTGAAAATAAAGATCATAAATGAACCATCAATTCAAGCAATATTCATTGAAAAATATTTCTTTGTATATTTTGCAACTACCTGTACAAAATGCAGTACTCTTCAATAGTTTAACTGTCAAAATACTAATAGTTCCATTGTTTCAAATGTCAAAATACTTACAGTTAAAAGTGGTCTTGTCACTCCTAAATCTTTCTGAGTTTTGTGATCAACAACATGTCTCAATGCATCAAAACCTGCAGAAAGAAGATAAACCAAATTAGCATTCTCCTTTAACAGTCATATATTTACAATAAAAACTAGAGGCTCTAAAGAGCCTGTGTCGCTCACCTTGGTCTATGTGCATATTAAACAAAGAAAACAGATGGATTCATGACAAAATTGTGTTTTGGTGATGGTGATGTATTTGTAGATCTTACTTTACTGAACATTCTTGCTGCTTACAATTATCTCTATCTATAATGAACTTGGCCCAGTAGTTACAGTGGAAAATATTTTGTAAAAATTTACAAAAATTTACAAAATTTATGAAAATTGTAAAAAATTGACTATAAAGGGCAGTAACTTCTTAAGGGGTCAATTGACAATTTTGGTCATGTTGACTTATTTGTAGATCTTACTTTGCTGTACATTATTGCTGTTTACAGTTTATCTCTATCTATAATAATATTCAAGATAATAACCAAAAGCTGCAAAATTTTCTTAAAATTACCAATTCAGGGGTAGCAACCCAACAATGTGTTGCCTGATTGGTCTGAAAATTTCAGGGCAGATAGATCTTGACCTAATGAACAATTTTATCCTTGTCAGATTTGCTCTAAATGCTTTGGTTTCAGAGATATGAGCCAAAAACTGCATTTTACCCTATGTACTATTTTTTAGCCATGTCGGCCATCTTGGTTTGCGGGCAGGGTCATCGGACATATTTTTTAAACTAGATACCCTAATGATGATTGTGGACAAGTTTGGTTAAATTTGTCTTAGTAGTTTCAGAGAAGAAGATTTTTGTAAAAGATTACAAAAATTTACGAAAAAATGGTTAAAATTTGACTATAAAGGGCAATAACTCCTTAAGGGGTCAACTGACCATTTTGGTCATGTTGACTTATTTGTAGATCTTACTTTGCTGAACATTATTGCTGTTTACAGTTTATCTCTATCTATAATAATATTCAAGATAATAACCAAAAACGGCAAAATTTCCTAAAAATTACCAATTCAGGGGCAGCAACCCAACAACGGGTTGTCAGATTCATCTGAAAATTTCAGGGCAGATAGATCTTGACCTGATAAACAATTTTCAGTTTTGCTCTAAATGATTTGGTTTCAGAGATATAAGCCAAAATCTACATTTTACCCCTATGTTCTATTTATAGCCATGGCGGCCATCTTGGTTGGTTGGCCGGGTCACCGGACACATTTTTTAAACTAGATACCCCAATGATGATTGTGGCCAAGTTTGGTCAAATTTGGCCCAGTAGTTTCAGAGGAGAAGATTTTTGTAAAAGTTTACGGACGACGGACGCCAAGTGATGAGAAAAGCTCACTTGGCCCTATGGGCCAGGTGAGCTAAAAAAACACTTAGTTTTATATCTTGGATAATCCAATATCATACATCAATGTACATAGCTATCTTAATTTTTTTTTACATAAAAGGTAGAAAAAGCATGTGTACAATTCTGACTAATTACTAAAGATATTAAAAAAAATATCTTGTAAACAGAAAACATTGTAGATTATTCCCTTTACAGGCTTTGTAAATATATGTTGTTTTTTTTCTATTCTGGTTCCATTCAAAAATATGTTTTATATGCCAATATTATTTGATCTTTTTCTGTTTTTGTTAGTTTTCAAAATTTTCTACCATGAAAAAAGTTTTAAAAATATCATTAAAAAATTAAGTTGGATCTTTCTTTAGAATAATTTGTCCCAAGTAACTCAAAAATTATTAGATAGCCCAAAGTAATTCACAAGTAATATTAACTGATAAAACCAAGTAACTCAAAATCATTTAAAAATATCAACACTTGTAATCATTAAAATATGGATACCAAGGAAAGGAACCAGCCAATGAAGGTATAATGATTAAATCATAACCTGATAGATTCAGACAATACAAGGAAGAATGTTTATGGAATGGTTATGAGCAAACTATTTGCCACATACAAAATGAAAGTAAAAAAAAAACGTATACAATTTTTACAAACAAAAACTTTTTTTTTTATTCGAACTGTAAACAACATACTGTATATAAAATTATAATTATTTTGGTCTCATACCATTTTTTTAAACTGCATATCAACAAAAATAACATAACAGTTCATGCAAACAATAAAAATAAATGATAACCATAGGACCAGATGAGCTAAAAATGTACAATTAATATAGGTCAATAAAACATAAATTCTAGTCATAATTTCCTTATATTTGTTGGAGGCTGCCTACTCCCCATCCCCTAACCTTACATCAAGTTATTTTATGGTAGGTGACTTATTATCTGATGAGATCTGAACTAGTACATAACAACCATTCAAAATAAATGAAACATAATCTACGTGAAAATGTTTTAATGGACTAAATCCAATGTCTCTGCTTCATCTCTAGAAGTCACTCCAGTAAGAAAAAGGGCCAACAAACACATACTAGGACTAAAACGGTATTGTCATGGCAAATTAAAATATATATGTAAATATATGGTTAATTGATTCCTAAACTATTTAAACTATTTATATGATATTTAACAATTCATGATATGAGGGGGTTTCGCATGGCCCCCTCCCCAATGGGCAAAATATAATATGATGAACTTGAAAGGGTCTTGTCATGGTAGCTCAAAATATATATGGTTTAAGTAAGGTGGGGAACTGAACAGTTTTTACACATTTAACAATTAACAATATAAGAGGGTTTGGCATGATCACGAGCAAAAAAATATCTATAGAATTTCCCCAAGGGACTAGAAAAATCTTACCAAGGCAATAAAGGCTTCATCAAAAAGGAAACATAAATATAGGTTAAGGAGAGCTACTTTTTGTAGGACTTGCTTCTTTACTTCCCAAGATGCATCATTACACCAAGAAAAGGTAAATTAGTATCAGAGATATGAATTGGGATGTAAAACTTAAAAGAGTCAATGAATATAAGATGCAACATCATAAGAAACATATACATGCAAATTAATTAAACATTATCTCATATCTACCTAAGATAATGATCTGAAGGCCTAGGGAAAAGATAGCATTTCACATTTGTGTTTTGTTTCATAATTTTTTAGAAGATGAAAAGCAATTAAATATATAGTTGAAGTTTCCATGGTGACATTTAATGAAGATAATATGTTTTACATATTTTTCTCTGATAGGAAAACAATAGATCAATTTTCTTTTTCAAAGTGGAAAAGAGCAGCATTGTGATTATTTTTTCTTATAATGTGAAAACCCTTGAAGATTTTTGGTAAAAAATAGAAATTATGTTTAAGGCTTAAACATTGGTACAAGAGGAAATATAAAATTTTGAAAATAAATTCCCTTTTAAATAATTGAATTATGTTTTATCAAGGAAATAGTGAAAGCTAAATTAAAGACAGCTATGATGGCTATGGTCATTTCATATGTAGGTTTTTTGAAGTGCTATATGTCTTTTCATGAAATAGTAAACATATACATGTATTCAAATAATTGGGAAGAAATTTGTGGTCTTTAATGGTAGATGTGGGCATGTTTACATGGATTTGGGGCAACCTATTCTAGTGCTTCATTTTTTGCAAAGTTACAATGGTTATCATATTGGTAAAAGTTGTATTTGTTTTCTTCGAAAAAAAAACAGTTCACCTATAAAGACAATACATCTGCAGTGTTTTTGGTAGATACAAATTGAAACTGTCAAGCTGCCATTTCAAAGCTATGAGCAAAAATACGAAGTGCACATGAAAAAAACAGAGAAACACTTAAAAAACTGTGGACAACAAGGATTCTTCCTTCAACTTTGTTGAGGCAAACAAATAAACATGCAAATTTAATGCATTCAGTAATGTCATGTCATATTATCAAAAATTTTCATAAAATAGGTGATGCATAAAAAAGATATAACAAGATTCTTGTTTCTCAAACTGTATAGAATTAGGTAATAATGTTAAATAATACGTTATTAAGAAAGAGGCAAGATATCTTGCACATTAAAACAAATTAGAAGGGGAGATTACAAGAAAGCATCACAATATCAAAACAACACAGTCACATGACAACAATACTACAACATGTGACCCGACTTACTTCCATCTTCTTCATCAACTATCAACAAAGTTCAAGTATATTAAAAAATTGTATTACAAATCCTTGTTAAAATGAGTTACAGTGAAATTCTTGATGTTATAAAAAGTAGTTTTTCAAATCTTGGTCGAAAATTAAAGTTTATTACATTTTTTAATAATAATGTAAACAATTATTTTCATTTTTCAAAGAAAAAATATAATTTATACCATTTTGCTTCCTTCAAATCGTGGTGAGTATTCACTTTTCATTTGGAAACTTGACAGTTAAGACTTAGCATGCAGTCTATTCTAATCATGTTATTTTGCAAAAAAAATCATTTTATTGGCCATGTAAGGCCCTTATTGCCGTCTTTCTTTGTGTCTATATATTAACAACATGGCACATATTAAAACAAACCAACTGTTTAATACCATTACCATATACTATAGATGATGTATACGCCTCACCAATGTGTGGTGATGGGAAATAAAGACAGGCAACTCAGAAGCATTAAACTATCACTTCACTGTGTTTGGATCTTTGTTTGTTCTTAATGCAAAATATGGCAAGGTGCATTCAACTATGATCTTAATTGACTAGGATGGCCATTTTTCCTGCCGAAGGTTGTGGGTTTCACTCCATGTTCTCTGGTTTCTTCATCAATAAACACTGGCAGACATGATATAGCTAAGAGTGCTGATAGTGGCCTCAAACACCAACAAACAATCAATCTTAGTGTAAAAGCCAAATGAAGAATGACATCAGATTTAATTATGTTGTGTTATTGACATATATCCTATATCCCCTTTAATTTCTGTGGATATTTTTCTATTAAAACAGGTAAAAGACAACTTCCTTAAACCTACAATCTTAAATGTGATTGTCAGTGAATGTGAGATGATTGAGCTCAGTTATAGCTGTAAGGTTTGTTATAACTTCTTCATACCATACTATAAAATAATTTGACAAATGTGAAAAGAATGAATGAATGACCTTAGTTTGTTAGTTTCAGAGACAAATACCATTCTAGTATCTATAACCTGATAATTCTTTTTTACAAAATTTGTAATGAAATCGTTGTTATAGTCTGCTCATTAATGAATCAAGTCTGATTTGTAAGAAATACAAAGTACAATATAACAACAATGTCTTTTACCTTTAGTAGCAGCAGCTATGCTTGAGGACACTGTGGCATGAACTTGTCCAAGAAATATATTCTGTATGAACTCGGTTACAAAAGACTGTAAACTTGATGTTCTATAAATTAAAAAAACCAAGATATTGGTGTCTGACAGAAATCTTAAAAGTGCTTAAACCACACATCTCATTATTAGCTACTGACCAAATATGAAGTTATTCTATTCAGTAGTTCCCTGATAAGAAGGTAGAGAAAAACACTTGTTGGACAGACAAGGTGAATGGAACATTTCTGCATGAACTTTCATAAAAATAACTTGACTGAATGTTCTTTAAATAAACACACACAAAAAATATATTCTGCATGAACTTTGTTTGATTCTGAGCAAATGAGGGGTTCTGAAACTTATTCCAAGGTCGCAAAATAGTATTCTTCTTTTCTATCCCTTGGTTGAAATGCATTAAATATTCACTCTTTCAAATTTGGAAAGAGTTTCATTATTATGTGATAAAGGAATTTGCACCTAATTGTTGTCTTGGCTTTAGGCTGCCTGGATCCTTTGTTTTTATGTAATGTTCCTATTGTTTATCACATCAACATATACTCCATATTATTTCTCTAATACTACTTACCCATCTTGACAAGCTACTGCATCTTCTACTTCTTTAATGAAAGCTTCTAATGGCATGAATATGGCTGTAATAAGAAGAACAATTTATAATCACATACACAACCAAAAAAAGTTCTAAATAAAATCAACTCCTTGGATTTGAGTATCTTGATTCAATCCAACATGAAGTTACTTTATAACAAATCTATGTCAAGTTCTCGGATATTATTACAAAAAGTCCTTTTGAGGATTAGCAGCCAATCATCAATAAATCATTGCTAAGACCGATCTCAATTTTTCCCCAGCTGACTTAAATACACCTGAAAATAATCACAATTGGTCTGTTATTCTTTGTCTTGTGACACCAAAAAATACAAGAACACGATTTATTTCCTTCAATGGTAGACAAACTCAAAACTGGTATATAGACCATTGCAATAAAAAATTAAGTTTGAGGAATAAAGCTATTCAAAACTAGAGGCACTGCAAACAAAGCTCACAAATGATACCCAACCTCTTGCAAAGTCCAATAATTGCTATGGGAAGTCTCAAAAATAATTCGCACCAAAAAGCAAAATAGGAGGTGCAAAGTAATACAATTTTATGGTTAAGATTGTGAGAAAATTTCAATAAATTGTAACATGGGTTTTGGAGAAGTTGCAGCATTTTTGGTAAGGGAAACACCCAAAAAAAAATTCTTATGAAAAAAATATAGAAGTTGCCTAATGGCACCAAATACATGTTATTAAGATTGTGAGAAAGATTCATTAATTATGATCAGAGGTTAAGGAGGAGATGCAGATACAAATGTGTATTAAAGTGTGTATATATGACAAAGGTGTACTAGAGTATGCAAATATGACAAAGGTGTACTATAGTGTACACATGACTGTTAAAGGAAAATGATTCTGAAAAATTAGTATAAAGCAGCCACATGTTCATATCTAATCTACCCATTAACCTATTTACAGATATATTTAATTATGATCAAGCCAGGCCAGAGATCAATATTGTTATGAAACTTCTAAACTATGGCTAAATTATACCTGAAATTACCACAGACTTTTACCAAAGATTTATATTTCACTTATATTTATTATGCCTATAAATTATCTTTAAATGTGTGTCTGATGATTTAATCTATACTTTTTACTGCCAACAATCTATATATATATTTATTGCTGATTTAAAATATTTTCTCTCTAAATGTTGCCAAAAAATTCATAATAACACAGATTTTAGATGACATTTAAATCCCCAGGAATCATTAGAGGAAAACACATAATTCAAAATTGTAAAGATGATTGTGGTAAGTGTTAAGAATATTTTTTAAATCTTCAGATAACCGACATTTAAATTTAACAATATTTCATGAAAATATCATGTTACAATGTTTAAATCTATAATTATGAATTATACTGAATTAGCTCAGTAGTAGTTTTTTGTTAAATGGGTGATAAACATTGCTTAGTTTGAAAATAATCTATCTTGGATGTTAAAACCAAAACTTATTATAGATTACAAAATGGAGTTTTTCTTTTTCTTGAACATGAAATAAATTGAAAAAAAAATTAGTGAGCTGGTAACAGAAAATGGAATTTCAAGCTGTGAAACAATATAAAACAAATTTTCCTGGGATTTTTAAAATCATTACTTGCTCAGACAATTCAGCATGGTTATGCAACAATCGGACTAAAATCTTAAAACATGTTTCAACATCAGGAAACACACTTCAAGAAATTTCAACCATACCAGTGTGGTATATCGATGTGGCCATCACCAACACAGGAGATCTGTTGTTCTCAACAGAGGAAAATAACCTTAAAGTTGTACCCTTTGGAACAGCAATACCTATAGAAGCCCAAAATATAAGGGTACCAGCAGGAAGAATAGTGACGATTCATTTAAATGAAGAAAGGCGTGAAATCATTCTAGGAGTTTGTATGAAAGAATATAATAGGCAAGGGCAAATCGTTGTACTCAATGAGGAAGGGAACCACGAAAGAACATATCCACTTTTTGCTGCTCCAAACAGTATTGCTACTCACAAAAACATTATTGCCATTGTCGACAGAGCAGACATTCACACAAGAGACAGTAGTGGAAGAGTTTTCATCTTAGATCTTGATCAGAATGAAATTACAAATGTTTATAAAGGTTATGCCGACTCTTTTATGAATGGAAGTCATCCATTTAAACCATATGATGTGGTTTACACAAAAAGGAATACATTTATAGTTTCAGATACATGTATAAATAATCCAATATTACATGTTTTGGACATTCAGGGCAATTATCTAACATTCTGTAATACAAAGGATGAACTAGGGATTTGTCTGCCACTGTCATTGGCTATTGATAAAGATGGCTTCCTGTTCATTGGATCACAAACATATAAAGGCAGTTCTCATGCAAATCTGTATGTTGTGGAAATAAATTAAATTTATTTTTGAAATTATAGGTAGGGCAGAAACTTAATTTACATAATTTTAAAAGACCCCTCCCTCATAATTATTGATCATCAGACATTTACTAAAGTTTTAAATTGTGCAAATGGTTTGATATGTTCCATTATCTCTAAGAAATAGACAAATTTTGACACCTATGATAAGTTAGCCAAATCACAATTCATCTAATTAACTCAGCTTACTAAATTCTTATCCCAAACATTAGATTAAGAATTGTCAGACTTGTTTTTAAATGTTTTTAAATAGAATTTCCAGTAAAATGATCCAATGATTCCTTTAGTCCAAGTTTTTTACAAACTAACAAACAAGTCATGTTGGATAAGGACCCCCCTAACAAACTATGAGAATTAAGTATGTTTAACAGACATCCATCATACCATGTAGTACTTTAAAGTCCCACTGACCAAAGGGGAGAACAAATAAGAAGATTTCAGCCATTCAGCGGGGAAAATTTTCAGGCCGCAGGTCATTAACAGGGAAGTAGTTGTAATTTATCACACAGGGAAGTACATTTTAAGAAATTACTGCTTCTGTAACAAAGCCAGCAGTAGTATTTGTGGTATTTTTTACTTTGTATTATTTTTTAGTTTTGTATATATACATAAATGAACACCTTTATATACATGTGGTGTACATGGGAAGTGTCCGTTGTTATTCTGTGGTTTATATGTTGTAATGAACTATTATATTATTTATTTATGTATTTCTCTGTCCGAAGTGTTCTTGCTTTTATTTGTATTGTATTCCTGTCACATAATGTTGTCATTTTAGCGATATTTTTAACATTGCTATATAAGCGGGGAGGCTAGCCATAAAACCAGGTTCAACCCACCATTTTTTCTTAAAATGTCCTGTACCAAGTCAGGAATATGGCAGTTGTTATCAAATAGTCCGTTTCTATGTATGTTGTTTTTGTAGCAGTTCAGTGTTTCTGTTGTTCAGTTGTTTTCCTCTTATAGTTGATGTGTTTCCCTCTGTTTTGGTTTGTGACCTGGATTTGTTTCAGTTAAATTGACTTCTGACTATTGAACAGTGGTATACTACTGTTGCCTTTATTTATACTTATCATATAATATATGAATAAACAATATAAGCATTAAAACAGACTAAGAGTTGTGACTATTTTAGGCAGATATGTTATAAATAAGGGAAATACTATTTTAGTCAAATAAGTTATACATTGGGGAAATAACTCTTCTCTGACTTTAATTTTAAACCCTAAATATATGTATATCGGGTTTTTTTGGCGATTTGATGACAAAATGGGCAGATTAAATTTTCACTGTGTATAATTTTCGCTGAATGGGAAAATACATCCGAAAAAAAATAATGTATAGTATTGTTAACAACATAAACTTGATTGACTGACAGGTAATCGATTGCAAATAAATATGAGTACTACAATTGAAAATACACATAATTCACTGAACTTTCAAGGAACATAAAATATGTAAAGACATTGGGGCATGCTAAAACTTGAAGGTTTTGATCATTACAGATTAACAAATGTCTGTGTAAATGTGATTTATTTTGATTTTAATTTCACATCAGATGCAAAATGTTCGTGTTATGACACCAATCAATAAATCATCGCTAATTAACATCTTTTAACCTGTCACTGATTGCTGTATACACTTTCTTGTGATCTACCGAACAACACAACAACACAAAAGACTCGACAATCAACAGTATACGTTTGTAATGTATGAAACTTTCAAACAATGATAAAGCTGGGAATACGCAGTGAAATTTACACAGGGTCAAATGTTCGCATTTCTTTAGCTGCCGCAAACAAAGCGAAAATTAGACACACTCCAAAAATACCCGATATACAGTACATCTATCATAATTTAAGGACTTGATGAACACTAAATTATAGATTTTGGAAGGTGCATGTGTTTTAACCAATAAATTTCACAAAACATCCATAAAACTAAATCACTCCATTGCATACATATTTCATTAGCTTTTTTTATGATTATACTATCACTATCACTTGATACTTCTTTGACTTTAACAAATGTAAAATACCATAGAGCCGTACATTGCAATAAAAAACATTGATTGGTTGGATTGAAAAAAGGTATCCAATTTTATTTTAAAGTGGTAAATCAAGAAATTTTAAGACAGGAGGAAAAAGAAATTTTGCGAAAGATGATCTACGTTTACAAAATTTTCCAACTGCAGGTTGGCTAGAACCTCTTTATGCAAATCCCTGAATCCACCAATGGCCTTCACATTATAAATAAAGATATTCAGACGTATAATCTTTCTCACAAACTTAGTAATGGTGCAGGTGTTCTGCAATTGCTGTCCATAATGAGTTGTAATTGAAATACTGGTTTGCTATTTCTAACACGTGGGAGATTTTATTTGACATGTTTTGTTTTAATCACAAATTCTTTCTTCCAAAGGGCAAAGCACTGCTTGTCACATGAGATAAAAAGCTCAAACTAAATACAAACAACTACAACTTGTATTAGTGACATAAAAAAAATGAAAAAAAACAAGTAATTAATTTCATGCATCCAAAGCGCTTTTCTGGATTTACTTTCATCAGGAACTCTCAAAGCCAAATATTTGAAAGCCGAGGATGTATAAGAACAGTTGAAGAGCTATATAACCAAAAAGTACTTAACAAATAGCCAAATCCATCTAAGGTCAACTTTGCCTGAGGAAGCTGAAACCTTAGTTTCTAATTTTAAAATTTATAAATGGACAATTTTAGAAAGGTTTGTTATTAATCACTACTGAGCTGATGATACCCTCGGGGACTAATAGTCCACCAGCAGAGGTATCGACCCAATGCTGTAAAAAATGAAAACAACATATACATGTAACTTGTAATTTAGTTTTCATTGATTTTCATTGATTTCACGTTTCCTGAAACATATACCTGTAATATTTTCATTGGGTTTACACAATGTCATGTGTTATTCTAATGATACCTATGATCTTGTTTACACCACCTCATGTGATGTGGTTAACATAATCTTCTGTGTTATTTAGTTGTGATCATTTCTACTTCTTGTCCTGTTTTATTTAGCTGTGATCTTGTTTGCACAATCTCCTGTGTTATTTACCCATTATCTTGTCTGCATCATCTCCTGGGATACTTACCTGTGATCTTTATTACACCATCTTCTGTGTTATTTACATGTGTTCCTGTTTACATCATCGCCTGTGCTATTTATCAGCAGTCTTGTGTACTTCATCTCCTGTGCTTTTTCCTGTGATCTGGTCTACAACATCTCCTGTATTATTTACCTGTGATCTTGTCTGCACTATTTCCTGTGTTATTACCTGTGATCATGTCTACACTCCCTCCTGGGATACTTACCTGCAATCTTGTTTACACCATTTCCTGAGTTATTATCGGTGACCTTGTTTAAACCATCTCCTGTGTAATTTACCTGTGATTGTGTTTACACCATCTACTGTGTTATTTACCTGTGATTGTGTTTACAACATCTCCTGTGATCTTGTTTACACCCTCTTCTATTGATGTTGTTTACATCATCTCCCGTAATATTTACTAGTAATGTTGTTTACACTGGGTTTACACATTTCCTGTGATATTTACCTGTGGTATTGTTTACACTGGGTTTACACATTTCCTGTGGTATTGTTCACACTGGGTTTACACATTTCCTGTGTTGTTGTTTACACTGGGTTTACACATTTCCTGTGATATTTACCTGTGATGTTGTTCACACTGGGTTTACACATTTCCTATGATGTTGTTTACACTGGATTTACACATTTTCTGTGATATTTACCTGTGATGTTGTTAACACTGGGTTTACACATTTTTTGTGATATTTACCTGTGATGTTGTTTACACTGGGTTTATACATTTCCTGTGATATTTACCTGTGATGTTGTTTACACTGGGTTTACACATTTCCTGTGATATTGTTCACATTGGGTTTACACGTTTCCTGTGATGTTTACCTGTAATGTTGTTCACACTTGGTTTACACATTTCTTGTGATATTTACCTGTGATGTTGTTTACACTGGTTTTACACACCATCTGATGTTTACCTGTGATGTTGTTCACACTTGGTTTACACACCATCTGATATTTACCTGTGATGTTGATTACACTGGGTTTACACACCATCTGATATTTACCTGTGATGTTGTTCACACTGGGTTTACACACCATCTGATGTTTACCAAGTCCAACTTCTGATAAAAGGTTGACATGAAATAAATTTCCCTGTGATAAAAAAAACAATGAGTAGTTTTAAACTTTTTAAGTTTTGTATTTTAACCCGTATAGTGCGTACAAAAAGTTGTTATCTACCTTACACATCTATCCTACTCACTGTTACTAAAAACATAGAGACTTTTTTAAATTGAGTTACACTGCCTCACTTTATACTTTTCAGCTCTTGACTGAAAATGCTAACAATCACATATAGAACATTGACATAATACAGAATGGACAACTGGACTGTACCAGAAAAGCATGTAGTAAGTCTCTTAAAATTATGCTGCTGACATTTTATCACTATCAAAACAGATAGTGTAATATATATCAACACTAAATTGGATTTGTTAACTGAGAAGGAAGTTCATTACAATTTCTGAAGTAAAATATTGGTGAAACATTTGGAAATTGAACATAAATCATGGGAAATATGTTTCTGATTTATTCCTGAAGTAATACTTTTTAAATGTTCTAAATCTTGCTTCTTAAAATGCATGTTTTAATTGTTTTTCGTTTCCAATGGTTTCAGTTGTATTGGTATACTGGCAGATGATTTAGTAATGGTAAATCACTGAAACACGAAAAGGAAATCACAGTCAACTAGCATATGCCAGATGGAAACTTCAGATAATCATCTACATACAAATTATATGTTTCATGAACTCTTGCACAATCTGAACTTTAAACTTTTTTAAAATTTATAAATGCCAATGTCACTGTATTAGCATACAGAGGTCTTGCTTTCTGTGACTTTTGTGGTCATAAGATAGCACACATTTATATTGTTGTACAATGTTCCCAAATAAAGGGAAATAAAAGTCACATCCATACTTACTGTATCAAAAGTCATGTTATCATCTACATAGCTGTTGGTACTCATAGCATGGATAGAGGCATCAAATCTAAACAATGACATCTGTAAATAAAACAACAAAAATAAGAATATAGAACTTCACTAGTATCACTGGTACCAGGTCAGGATTGATTGCTTGCTTAACGTCCGCTGGCAAATATAACATGCTTATTCAGTATGATCCTAGACAGAAAGTCAAATACACAAATGTACATGTAATTCAACATTGACAGCAAAAAAAAAAATGATTGAATAAAATCAAGCTGATTTCATTTAAAAATCCTATAGATATAGTTCTATATGATTATGTGCTGTATGTATCAAGAAATTAAGATATTCTACCAATTCAATATGAATAAGATGGCCTTCTCATTACAACTAACTACAGTGCATTTTAAAAAGTGTTCAAACTATTTCAAACAATCAAAGTGACACCTAGAGATCAACTCAGTAGAATTATACAGTTGAACAATACAAAACTGTCAAGGTAAAACAAAACATTTGCTTCTCAGGCAAAGTTCTGTGATCCAAATGTCCACAAAACCAAATGTGTTTACAATTTTTAAAAACAAAAGCCAAAATTTTGAAATTCTTCATTCCAATATTTCAGATTCAAATTAAGTGCCTAAAACGCAATGTCCAATGTGATTCAGCAGTCTTTACAAACAGTGTGACCAATATGATATCTTCATTGGGGTCTTTCCAGTAATGAGTTATGAGTAAAGAAACAGAACAAGCCTCTGCCGTTTCAAATTATATATTTCTAATGAGCACAGCAAAAAATCCAAATAAGACTTTGCTTGATCAAAAATTTATCAAATTACTGATCTTTTTTTTTTGTATGAATTAATATATGTACTGGCATTCATGGGCAATAAAGTATAAACTCAAATATATACTTTCAAGTGATCAGGACCAGGTTGAAAGTACATTATTCATCCTGCATGAACACATAAACATTTGTATTTTCTAAAATATTAATCAAATAAATTTATACTTTGCAAAAAGAGACAAAATGTTTTAAAACACAAATATAAATTCAACATTAAGACACTGCAAGAATCATTTCAAAATTCTTTAATAAATATTGAAACAGAATAATAATTGATTGATTGATTGGTGTTTAATGCCACTTTCAGCACTATTGACTATTTCCTAGCAGTCAGTTATAATTGGTGGAGTACCTTTGGCAAGAAAACTGACAATCTTAGTTATTAAGATTGGAGTTGAACGCACCTGTGATGTGCTGGACAACAACTCACAACCTCAGTGTTGACAAGCTAGTGATACAGTACTTAGATCAAATGGCCACAGAGGTCCAGTCTGCACTGTTAGCCACTAGTCCGATGGCCAAGACCAGTAAAATTTTATTCGAACTAGTAAGTATTTGCAAAACTTTGTTGAGGCATATAAGAAAAAGTGGGAATATTTGTCTTTGGACTTGTAGTTGGAAAAGATTTTGGTGTAGGCTGGAGACCTCAAACAGAATAATGAATGATCCTTCAAAACTCTAACAAATTATGCTTCATCAGAATACAAATGCATTTAAATAATATATTTCCTTTTTTTAATTACATAGAAAAAAACAATAAAAGTGTATGGAACGCCACAGCTGTCTTATGTGGTACTCTGATATTACTTTATGTTGTTTTATTATTACTTGATGATATTTTGTCTTTACTTAATATGGTTTTGACATTACGTAATGATGTTTTGATATAACTCAATATGGAATAGTCATTACTTAATGATATTTCGATATTACACGATATGGTTTCGTATTGACTTGATATAGTTTTGTCATTCCTCAATATGGTTTTGTCATTACTCGATGTGGTTTCACCATTATCTAATGTGGTTGTGTCATTAGTCAATGTGGTTTTAACATTACTTGATGTGAATGTGACTTAACGTTATGTAGTTGTTTCATTACATGATGTGGTTTTGTTATTTTGTAATGATGATTTGCCTATTCTTTATATGGTTTTAACATTACGTAATGATGTTTCAAAATTTGACGATTTTACACTACATGATGTGTTTGTTTCATTATTTGATGTGGTCCTGTCATTCTTTGATGTGGTTATCCCATTACTTGATGAGGTAAAATCACGTGACCAATTCGGAAAAACCTGTTCTATTTTTAGATAGATTTCCATGTTGTATGTGCCTTGGATGAGTGTGACCATCCATCGAATTAGAGTTCAAATTAAAGTTCGGGTTACTGTTTGAGTTAAACTTTGAGTTAGTCTTCGATTTCGAATTCAAGTCATTATTAGAATTAAAGTTTAAGTTAGCATTGAGTTTCAAGTTGGACTTCGAGTTTGAGTCACATATAAAGGTAGAGTTCTAGTTACAACATTAAATTTGAGTCATCTTTTGAGGTAGAGTTTGAGTAAGATTTGAATTTAAGTCTCATTTAGATTAATTAAGATTTTGAGTTGAAATTCGAGCTATCTTATATGAGTTCGTAATTAAATTTTCTATCGCGGAACAAGGACTTTTGCTCGGGCTTCCGAAAAGAGGGCATCGGGGTATGCGTACAAAAGATAAACAATGTTACAGTATACAAAACGCAACATAGAAGTTGAAATAAAGTTAGATGTGGTGTGATTGACAATGAGACAACTATCCACCAGAGTTTATATGCAGTGGATGTAAGAAATCATATATAGGCAACCGTACAGCCTTCAACACACCGTATAGTCAGCTACAAAAGGCCACCATGCACCATGTGAAAAAATTCAAACGAAAAAACAAATGGTCTTATTTATAAATAAACAATCTACAAAAAAAAATTACACACATTTATACAACGACAACAATTGAACTTCATGCTCCTGACATGGGGCAGGTACATAAAAAAAGTGCACGTGGCGGAGTTTAACATGTATGTGAGCGCTAAATCCTAATCTTACATCGGACTGTTACAGTTGTGTAACAGCACAACACGAGAAAAAAATGTAAACTAGACAAAGTGATGCTTCCGCACTCAACTCATTTAACCGCTTATACCCCCAAAATGACAAAAAAAAGTTCAATTATCTCCCAAAAGAGCAAAAGATAATAAAAAATAAAAACCCTGACCACATGCACACCTTCAATATATGTACAAACAGACAGTAAAGAGAAAACTTCCTAGGATTCAAACTGTAGGAGGAGTTATGCGGAATAACTATATACCCATAATGGGACGGACAGACGGACGGACGGGCAGACGGACGGACGGACGGACAGGGGTAAAACAATATGCCCCCCAACTTTTAGTTGCGGTGGCATACAAAATAGTTTCATTTGGCTGATTCAATAGATCGGTATGACTGGGTAATATAAATCCTTCGGGGCGATCTCGGATGCTCCATAAAGGCACCCGTCGTGTTATTCGAGAAAGTACAAACCCAGTGATTTGGTTTTATTTGGTAGTTTACCATCAAGGAAAAGATGACGGTATTATGGTTACGACCACTGGAACATGTCCGTCATCACATGTGAAACAGATATTCCAAAAAGTTTATTTTTCAATTAGTGCGAGGTCGATCAGGGAATTCAATTGATTACAAATAAAAGATTGATATTCGTATAAGTTCAAATGATCATTTACGCTAAAAATAAAATTGGAGAATTCTTATTTTATAGTATTGATGCTTTGTCGCTTAGTCCGAGCCCCCCTCCCCCCGTTTCCCTGTAACTTTAGTGTGAGTTGATTTGAAGTGTTTCATTTGTTAACAATAAAGTTCAAGTCTTTTGATTTGTGTCGAGCCTGCGACATCAATGTAGCGGCAGTGAGAAACAACAAACCTATATTTCGTCGTCGATAGTGGCGTCGGCGTCTCCATCTCCATTTTTTTTTTATTTCTATTGAGTTTAACCTTTCATTATACATGTTACTAAACATGTATGCCATCATAATTTTGTACTTTTAGAATATCATACTGTATTTGTTTACCTCGACTATTGTATGTATTTATATTGTATGTTTCTCTGTAAACTTGTATTTAGTTTTTAGAGAATAAAGTATCTATCTATCTATCTACAGATCGTTAGGTTTCAAGTTTTTTACTTTTTTCATTTCGGGACCTTTTATAGCTTACTATAGGGTATGGGTTTTGCTCATTGTTGAAAACCATACAGTTTTGTTTTAGTTAAATAAAACCGAATTAAACTATTTTGACATGATACATTTGTAAACCTCAATTTCAAGAAAAAGCATCTACAGAAAAACATTTTAAAAAAAAATTTTTTTTTACCGATTAATGTATTATATATAAATGTACAGCCGACCAACATGACGCTTTTACACTTACAGCAGCAATATCAGGCGAGTCACAGGGTTTCGTGGAATATTTTACAAATTTATTACAAAAATACTGCTTCCGTTTGAGAACTTAGGATAAAAACAACAGGACCAAGTGGTTTGGGGATATCCCAATTATGTCCGAAATACTGTAAACTTTTTAATACTTTTTTTCTTATTATTGTCTGCCGTTCCCCTTTTTCATACCAAATAACTCTGAACAACCACTCGAACTTTGATTTGAACTTTAACTCAATGGATAGCGATACCCATCCAAAGCACATTAAACAAACGATATATTGAAATCTGTTTAAAAATAGAACATATTTTTTCCGAATTGGTCACGTGGTTTTACCTCATCAAGTAATGGGATAACCACATCAAAGAATGACAGGACCACATCAAATAATGAAACAAACACATCATGTAGTGTAAAATCGTCAAATTTTGAAACATCATTACGTAATGTTAAAACCATATAAAGAATAGGCAAATCATCATTACAAAATAACAAAACCACATCATGTAATGAAACAACTACATAACGTTAAGTCACATTCACATCAAGTAATGTTAAAACCACATTGACTGATGACACAACCACATTAAATAATGGTGAAACCACATCGAGTAATGACAAAACCATATTGAGGAATGACAAAACTATATCAAGTCAATACGAAACCATATCGTGTAATATCGAAATATCATTAAGTAATGACTATTCCATATTGAGTTATATCAAAACATCATTACATAATGTCAAAACCATATTAAGTAAAGACAAAATATCATCAAGTAATAATAAAACAACATAAAGTAATATCAGAGTACCACATAAGACAGCTGTGGCGTTCCATAAAAGTGACGCTAACCAAATTTGTACTAGATCTGAGTTTTGTGGTAATAAGTATTGTGTATTGGTTTCATAATGTTTGGTTGGGGCAAACTTAAGTTACAGAACGGAAACTAAAAATTTTGCAATTTTTCGATTTATAAAGGAGCATAACTCGATAATGGTTAAAGTGACGCTACCAAAATTCAACTTGATCTGTGTTTTGTGGTAATGAGCATTGTGTATAAGTTTCATAACATTTGGTTTAGGCAAACTCAAGTTAGAGAACGGAAACCAATTTTGGGATGTACGTACAGATGTACAGACGGACAAGGATAAAACTTATAAAAATGTTTAAAAAAATAACTCAAATAAATTGGGGTCTTCCCTGTGAAATAAGCAAATGCAAGTTATTGAATTTTCAGCATTCTTTTCTTTTATTACAAGATAGAAAGAAACACAAACTACCAGTATACGTTTTTCTTTCCTTTTCGAGAAAATATATATTAATTCTGTCAGTGTATATGGAAAATATATAGATTGTAAATCTGAAAAGATTACAAATATTAGAAAAAACTATATTTGACTGATAGTGTGTAAAATTGTTGAAACTTACATCAACTTCCTAGAAACAACAGAACTATTTTTTATATTAAACTTTAAAACTAGATTGTATGAGTATTCACATTGCTTTCCATCTATAAACAAATATTTTCTATAAAGATTCACAGAATTAAAGCTGTTCTTATTTTTTGCTTCAAGAAAATATGTTGTATTCTAAACATGGCTTTGAAACAGGAAGAAATGCATTTATAAAACAAAAAACAAACAAAAATTCATCTCAGGTCAACAACATTATTAATAGTATGTTGAATAAATTTATTTTCTTTTCATACTGGTTAAACCTATGAATTTAGGACATCAAATGCAGAATGTCAAAATTCTGTGAGACTAACATTTTTCTTAACATCACAAATAAGTTACTATAGAATACTCTGTTACTGTAATAAAGTAATTTATTGACAAGTAACTGCTCAAGTTATACTGATACTTTTAAATTCCCTATAACTTAAATTAAGTTTGATATTTGAGAGCCAGTGATCAGTTTCACAAAAAATCTTCCTACTAAAGTTGATCGTATGTATCCTGATGAATTGTTCATGACTTATAATCAACTTTAGTGGTAAGTTATTTTTTGAAACTGATCACAGATGCTGACCTGAATGTATCTATATTTTCCATTTTATGGATACCTGATGTTTTGACGGTATTTTTTTTTCAAGGTTTCTCTTCTATTCTGGAAGATAATCCTTTACTCTTATTTTAAAATAATCCAACAAAAGAACTCCATGTACTGCTGGTTATGTCTATATATGAATAGTATGAAAATTAGTAAAGCTTTATGCTAATTATTGTTCAACTGTTAGATTTATACTACTAAGGGAGATAATTTGAAAGCATAGTTATAAAATCTTGGATTAATAGACCTTATCACTCTTTCCTTTGTCCTAAAAACAGAATAATTGGTATAACTTTCATGTAATAAATGATTCTAAAGTCTTATGTCTTAAAGAAGAAATGTAAACTTTAATTCAAGTGAAAATATAGTGAACAAATATGAAACACAAGGAGACAATCAAAACAGAATATGAGTATAAATGCAAAACACGTCACAACATAAATGATGAAATTTAGAAAATCAAAAAACCAATTTTCTGCATATCAATTTGATCACTGTGAAAAACAAACTGTTGACACACAGTTATGTCTTGCCTGTACACATAAAATTCAAAAAAAGACAATTTGATGGACAGCAACGTTGCTTATTATTTCAAAGTTGATTGACCATGATCTTGTTGGCAGGGCCTAGAAATGGTCGATAAACTCAGATGTACTGATTGTAATGCAACTTTATACAAAACATCATTGATCTGTCACAAGTAGTTCTTATCTAACTGACTTAAGCAGAAAACTTAACATTGAAAATTGTTAATATAAAGTCACTGGACTATGACCTGGGAGCAGGGCTGCAAAATAGTTGTCAAACTGATATGTACTGATAGTAATGCAACTTCGTATTAGATATCAATGATCTATCACAAGTAGATCCTATCAACCTAACTTAAGCAGAAAACTTAACATTGAAAATTGCTTGTTAATTCAAAGTTGCTGGACCATGACCTAGGGGGCAGGGCCTTGAAATAGCCGTCAAACTGATATGTACTGATTGTAACGAACTTCATAGTAAATATCAATGATCTTTCACAAGTAGATCCTATCAAACTAACTTAAGCAGAAAACTTAACATTGAAAATTGCTTGTTAATTCAAAGTTGCTGGACCATGACCTAGAGCCTTGAAATAGTCTTCAAACTGATATGTACTGATTGTAATGCAACTTCATAGTAAATATCAATGATCTATCACAAGTAGTTCCTATCAAACTAACTTAAGCAGAAAACTTAACAATTGTTGACAACAGAGCCAGAGCAGGAGCCGTCATTGCCGGAAAGTAATCCCTATGTCTCGCTTTCCGCGACTTTTGTTGCAGGCGAGACAAAAACTGATCAATGTGGTGTTATACCAAAATGGTCTATTTTGGTATTACCTATTACAAAAAGTTATAAACTTTGCAAATTCATATTTTTAATTTAATGTTCTATACTTAGAGGTTTCATATTAGTTAAAATATTATGCAATCTGTTATTAATAATTTATTTTCATACAATTATATCCTTCATATTATGGATAGTGGATTGTTCCTTTGGTTAAGAGGTAAGGATTGTTAGGTATTTGTGTAAGTACACATGATTATTTAGGTATTTGTGTAAGTACACATGATTATTTAGGTATGTGTGTAAGTACACATGATTATTTAGGTATGTGTGTAAGTACACATGATTATTTATCTTTAAGTACCTAGGTAAATCTTGAAACTTGACAAATCTTTCCTTTTTTGTTGAATGTTTTCTGGTTGCCTACATAGACATAGGGATTGCCCTGTTGCCACTGACTGTGCACCAGTGTTAAATAACCATGCCACCAATAGCTTAAATTTATAAACAATGTACTCTGTCTGGTATTGAAGTTCAATTATAAGAAATTCAAACCCCCACACACTATGTGTACACATTTTATATCACTTTTAAGTCATCTGATAGTACCTTTTTTGATTTGGTTGGCTTTTTCTTACTGAAGTAGGAGTTTATGTCTGTACTTGGTTCATCAAAACTTGTGGGAGCTCTTTGTCTGGATGACGTCTGTACATCTAAATATTCTCTCAGAACTAATTCAAGCTATGAAAAAAAAAATGCAGTTAATGTAACTTATTTGAATCTGTATGATTAACTAGATAATCTTTATTATTCGCCTTGTAAAATTCAAGCTGTACCTATTTTTAAACTTCATATCAGAAAACTACTGTCTTTTGGTCTTTAAACAAAGTTGTCTTATTGACAATCATACCTCATCTCCTAAGTTTTATATTATATTGAACAGAACAGCTTCATCGTGTTCCAAGGTGGATGAGGCAAAAATTTGGCACTCTTATTGACAATTACAATAGCACATTAAAAAAAAAGTGTTTGTATGTCAACCTCATAAAAACAAGAAAAGAGGATACAATTTTGTCTATTCATAATTAATTTCAATAAGAATACTTACAACTGCTTGTATTTTGGACCAAACATCATTCATATCATATAACAATTCATTTCTAATTGGTACACCTGACACCTGTGTAAAATAAATGTTTGAGTAAAGTTTCTCAATAAAGCTCTACAAAATTTAAAACCTAATAGGTGTACTGTATTAAGAAGTTTATGATTTTTGTCCATAACAAATGCATTGTGACAGAAAAGGTTTATGTCTAACAGCAAGATAGATGCTTTAATCAAATTTCAAGTTATAAAGAAAGAAAAACATGTCCTTTGGCAATCAGTGTGAAATCTTTATTAGTAACATGGTTGACTGTTGGGTATGTAGTCAATCTAATGTACCGGTATTATTATTTTTTTTTAAACATGATAAATTTTCTTTTTTTGTAGCATTTTAACCTTACAAGTCAGAGAAATAAAAATAATATCCTATTTTTCCTAATGAATGTTCCTATTAAGTCAATGGTTCTTGCAAGCATGATTTAGTGAAAACTAGAATATGTGGCTATATAAGAGACATTCTAGTAGATGGCGCATAACCAACCCTGGTAAACAGGCCTAGGAAGTTAATGAGGGATGATTTTGAAAATATATCAGACTGTAAAGCATGCTCACATTAAGCTTTATAACAAATTTCAGAAAGTTTTGATTCATAGTTGCTGTGAAAAATGCAACAAAAATTTCATACATGGCCATCAATATGCGTAAGAATATATAAGTTTTCGGTAAATAGGTTGTTGATCATCACTGAATGTGAAAACCTTCATTGACTAATACTATTGTTTCCCCATAAAGGTTAATTTGGTGTGACCTAATAAGTTACTTAAATAATTCTTTTTCATAAATTAGATTTACAAAATAAAATATATTATACTTATTATACTATATAGGTAACATTCCTTATATAGAACAACCATAGTTCACATTAAACAATGCATTGAAAGCACTGAGCCTACATTGCCAACAGTCAATTTGATAAACAAGAGGCTCTCAAGAGCCTGAATCGCTCACCTGTATTTCAGAGGAGAAGATTTTTAAATGTTAGCAAACTTGATGAACAAATTGTGTAAAATTGTCTTTAAAGGGCACTCCTTAAGGGGTCAATTGACAATTTTGGTCATATTAACTTTTTTGTAGATCTTACTTTGCTGAACATTATTGCTGCTTACAGTTTATATATATATATAATAATATTCAAAATAATAACAAAATACTGCAAAATTTTGTTAAAAAACTACCAATTCGGTGGCAGCAACCCAACAATGGGTTGTTCAATTCGTCTGATAATTTCAGGGCCGATAGATCTTGACCAATTTAACAATTTTACCCCATGTCACATTTGCTCTAAAAGATTTAGTTTTTGAGATATAAGCCAAAAACTGCATTTGACGCTTATGTTCTATTTTTAGCCATGGTGGCCATGTTTGTCTATGGATACAAACTTCGGATACAATTTATAAACAAGATACCCTAAGGAACATTTAGTTAAAGTTTGAAGGTAATTGGCCCAGTAGTTTCAGAGGAGAAGATTTTTAAATGTTAGCAAACTTGATGAACAAATTGTGTAAAATTGTCTTTAAAGGGCAATAACTCCTTAAGGGGTCAATTGACAATTATGGTCATATTAACTTTTTTGTAGATCATACTTTGCTGAACATTATTGCTGCTTACAGTTTATATATATCTATAATAATATTCAAAATAATAACAAAAAACTGCAAAATTTTGTTAAAACTAACAATTCGGTGGCAGCAACCCAACAATGGGTTGTTCAATTCGTCTGAAAATTTCAGAGCTGATAGATCTTGACCAACTGAACAATTTTACCGCTTATCAGATTTGCTCTAAAAGCTTTAGTTTTTGAGATATGAGCCAAAAACTGCATTTGACCCCTATGTTCTATTTTTAGCCATGGCGGCCATGTTTGTCAATGGATCAAAACTTCGGATAAAACTAATAAACTAGATACCCTAAGGAACATTTAGTTAAAGTTTGAAGGTATTTGGCCCAGTAGTTTCAGAGGAGAAGTTTTTTGAAATCGTTTACGACGACAGACGACGACGACGGAAGCCAAGTGATGGCATAAGCTCACATGGGGCCCTTTGGGCCCCGGTGAGCTAAAAATGGACAAGATGCAAATTGCTAATTAATTCTATAAATGTTTCAAATGACAATGTCATAATGGTAATATACATAGTGATGAAACAGAATTTCTATAAACATGAAAAAGTTTCCAAAATTAGTTAAATTCTGTACACAAGAATATAAGTGACATTCATTGTTCAGACATGCCTCCGGGTGCGGGAATTTCTCGCTGCATTGAAGACCTGTTGGTGGCCTTCTGCTGTTGTCTGTTCTGTGGTCGGGTTGTTGTCTCTTTGACACATTCCCCATTTCCATTCTCAATTTTACTTTTAATACATGATGATTATCACAATAAAGTGTGTTTTACAAAGTCACAATCAAATGAATATGTTTTAAGTGAGAAGAAAAAATATAAGAGGATAAAGTTCTTTATGGTCCCATTTATTAGAAAAGACACGACATATAATAATTCAACATGCAAAAATATAATGCTGTTTAAAAACAAAATGAAACAACATAAGTTGAAAAAGCATATATAACTATACAGTCAGTTAGTTATAGGATCCTTATTGCCCAGTGAAAGCAAAAATTGTTGACTACATTTTTTGTTCAGCTGCTGATTGTAAAATAGGTCAAAAGAAAAAATGCTATATTTCTGGTTAATGGAACCCCCCTTTTATTTGACTATTAATCAATTTTATGTTGATTGCAGAATTAGAGATATCAGTTTATGTGCTGATCATCCTGTTGTGGATCAGTTTTTGCAACTTTAAGCAACGATAGAATATCAATGCTTCAGTTAGAACATTAATTATTTTACAGTTCTTCAACTTATTTTACTGTGCACTTTATACTTGCATTTCCATATAAAATGTGCTAAAATAGACAGCAACGACCGAATGCATATAAAATGAAGAGCTTCAAGCTGATTCTTTAGATCTAAATATACCATGTATACAGTTAACATGGAATATGTCATGAGGGGTATTTTCATTTATTTTGGGATCATAAATATAGTTTTGATTATTTCACCCCACACAAAATACTTGTCCAATGAAGTTATAAATAACCCCTGCAAAAGTTTCCTTGTTTTAGTACTAGTGTTCCATACTTCCACATAAAATGTACTCCACTTGAAACAAAAAAGGGGGATTCAATTGAACATCCCTATCCATTGTCATTTGTAACCAGAAAGACAGCATTACTACCTAATTAGAGTCTTTTGTATAAATACATCAAGGATATGTGTAAATATAAATATTGATGAAAAACAACTGTTTTCAAAAAGGTAGAAAGTAAATAAACAAGAAAACAAAAACAACATATAAGGATACAAAATCATAATACAAACAGCAAGATCCCAATACACACCTCATCTACGGTCTCCTCTGGTGTCGGCTTAAATAGTAAATACCAAACGTGTCATTTTTATAACATTCATGTCAGCTTCATGTGTGTGGATATCTACTTTTTGAGTCAAAATTTTGATTTATAAAAAGATTTGGCTAAAAACAACCATAAGCTCTACTGTGCATGTAGTTTCATATGATTATTTCATATGCCTGTACTGCTCTAAAGGATTTTGTAGAACCCAGGTAATACAATATCAGGCTTTACAAAATATAATATACATATCAAACCTGTTGAAGAAACATGGTGCAAGGAATCTTACTTATTTAAAGAAGAAAAATCTAAAAATTGCCAACCATTTTAAAGGTTTTTTCAAGGAGTGAAGAAAATGCTCAATGATTAGTTTATTTCTTATTTGGATAAGAATATACCTGAACAGTTCTCATATAAAAAGAATGATGGCAAAGGCAACCAATGAAAAATAATAACAAAAGATCTCATAGCTTTTTAGACTAACAAAAGTTTTGATCAGCCATTTACTTTCAACTATTTTGAGGGAAGGGTTTTTGTATTTTGTCAGTTTTAAACTTTTAACAACAATTTCGAGAGATTGATTCACAGACCATCTGCATTTTGATTTGTCATAAATGTATATGAAATATACTTCCTTATACTGTAAACCAATTTATTTTTTAGGAATATTTTATATATCATTTAAACCTTAAAAAAGCCTACTATGGGACGATTTAATTTTGCATTTTTTAAGATTGTTAATGTATTCCTTTAATAAAATACCCAAGTGACTTTTTCATAAAAAGCAATATTCCCATTTTTTAAATGGTATCAGAGCAAATCTTATATTTCAATCCTTTTACCTCATTTCATGTATTGGTTTTCTTACAATTACAGCACCTTTTAAAGACTTTTTCAATATGTAAAACATTTTTCCATTACATCAAATTGTCATATTCATTCTAATACTAAGTCAACTAGTTTGTCCATCTAAGGAATTTTATTGCTGAAATGAGAAAACTCTCTAAACTGAGTTTTCTAAAATAAATAAAAGAACAGAGTTCCAATGTCCCCCGGGTTGCACATATTTTATATTTCTTAGATGCTCAGAATTTTGAAATAAAACATGCAGAACAATTAGCAAAATAGCAAAGAATTGTTTAATGACTCAAGAGGATTAAATAACTTTCAAAATGGCAAAAAATCCAAAAAAAAAAATGAAATTTACAAACAATTAACTAATTTGTTTATCAGTTTACTTAGGTGTCTACCATGTCGTAAGAATTGGATGGATTTTAAGAAATTTCTTCAAATTGTAAAGAATGAAGAAATCAAATGTATATTTTTGCTTTTTTTTAAGTTAAAAAAAGTGACATAAAAAGCTGCAACAAATGTTTGGCCAAAATAAAGAAGAAATAGCTGACAAGTAAGAGAAATCACTGATTTGTTAAAATAAAGGAATAAATACGTGTTAAAAGAAACTTGTACTTACTATAATTCTCTGTAAGTTACGAAGAACAATCTTATGCATTGTGGCAACATTTCTGAATTGGTGAAATACATTTTCTAGAAGTTCCAATAAAAATCTTGGTTGATTCTGACTAGATAAAGACTCTCCTGGTTGTGCATAACTGCAAGGATAAGATTATACAGTAAAAGTAAACTTTTTTGCTAGAAATTACTACATTACTTATTTTGTTAGAGTAAAAATGTTGACTATACTATAATTATAATCTTTTTTATGTTCATTGAAGACTTCAGGCACCATTCCATTTAGTTTTCAGTGATATAATTTCATATCTGTTCTCTATAAATTCTCACCACCTACTACCAGAGTTATACAAAATGAAATGGTCTTGATTAAAAGTAATTTTATCACAAACCTGTCAATCAAAACATACAATTAGGCTTCTCTGACAATTTTTTTTATACTTCACTGATTTAAAAGATGGAGTTGAGACAACACCATATGTAAATTAAAACTAGTCTAAATAAACTCTGAAAATGACTTGATGAATACATACATATGTTAAAGTCTCATTTCATCCTTTATTTTAACTTTTTTGGGGTCAAACGTCAGATAACAATAGTACTTACCAGTATTTCAAATTGCAATTATTTCTTACAAATCACACTTTTAAATTTACCCAACAAGTTTTGTTATTTGACAGATATTTTTTCAACATTGCTCAAGAGTCCTCTAAAAACTAATGAAACTTACCTGTCAACAACCTGTTGAGATGTTCTTGCTACAATGGCCGATAATTCTGGTTCTATCTTTGACTTTATACCCTGTCATATAAATCATGCAAAAACACTTATTACCTTTATAAAATAAGTCAACACATATTGATTATTGATTTCTAAGAATAATTGCCAGCAAACAGAAACTAAACGGTTCTAAACAGTACAACAGTCATCATTAAAAAAAAATGGCCATCACCAAAACTAATTTCAAAATCATGTGTTAAAATATGATGTTATATCTCCTTTTATTCACACCAAGGGCACTCCATACTTCCCTTTTCCACTTCAATGAAGCTGAGTGAAAAGAAGGCCAATAAGAAGTGTTTTTGTGGTTTGGAAAAACTATGTTCATAACAAATAATATTTCCAACACATTTGTCTTCTCAGGATAATTTAGGGGTACTTAAATGGTGAGCATACTATTTCTAATCTAGGCTAGCAAAACAAAATGCTAAATAACACAATCTCTTAACTATTACTTATAAAATTTCAATATGACAGAAGTTTCCATATCCAAATCATACTTTTTTACATTCTAGTGTGCCTGACAATTAGGAGTATTTTCATGAGGTAAGAGTATTTTTAATGCACTTTTCTTGCTTTAAACTAACAACTTTTCACCAGGTAATAGGCTAAAATGTTGAACAGTTGATAACTTTTGAGATGACTTCAAACTGTATCTTGGGGAAAACATTTATGCATTATTATTGTGAAAGGGCAAAACTTGGATCATCAACCAAACTAACATACCGGTATGCAAGAAATGATTCTCTCTATATTTTTTAGTATATGATATAACTTAGACAAATCTGTATTTCAGAATTTATGTGAAATTGAAATTTTATCATTTACAGAGCAGACTAGTATTTATTGAAAAGCTACCTGTGCAATCTAAACCTGGAACAAATATGATTGATTAAACAACACAATAATTCCTAAGTGAGTATATAGGTCATGAGTGAATGAAATGTGTTCTTATGCCAAACAAATTTTAAAAAATATTACAATTGGAATCAAATGGGAGTTATTTATAAATATATTAATATTTTCTACATTTCAGTGTTATGGTGATCGTGTTGCCCTTGATAACAGGGCTTATTACTGACAGTTAAATGTGAAATAAATTTAGTAACTTCACTCAGATAAATGCAGGATTTCTCTCACAGATAAATCATGATATTTCACTTGTATTTTTATATTAGTATTCACCACTAACAAAGTTTAAGTAATAAATAATTTTCGTTAAAACAATTACATGTACTACTGTGTGAAAATTAGGAAATATAATTAATAAAATTTATATTGTGTTAAAGGGGGTAGAGTGTGAAATTCAGAAAAATCATTATTTCACTTTATATTTTAGCCATAAATGACAGCTTTATATTCACTACTATTTTGAAAATATTTACTCAATATAGGTAATATTTCAATCATTAATAAGCAAAAAAAGCAAGTAAATTGTAAAGACAGTCATTACAGTTTTACTTGATATTTTAATCATTGGCATTGTTATAACACAGAGAACTGAAATAATTCCTAAATATTAACATTTTCTAAACCAAAGAAAGAAAATCATTAAAACATCAACTAGATAATTAACAGAATGAATTTTATCAACATTAAAAACACTTCAAAATCTTGCAAAAGATGTGAAATTGCAATGCTCAAAAACACAGCCCTTAAACCATTTCTTACCAGTGGATCCTTCATTTTCTTATTCCTCTACATTAAAAAATAATGATAAATTACAGATCATTACTTAATTTACAATGTTAAGATTAACAAGCATTCTGTGAGTATTGCATGGCAATACATAGTCCCCTACCGGTTACAAATTCATTGTAATGGAACGAAATTCTAACTTGATCTATAACTTGTCATGGTGTAAACTACATGAAAATATCAAGTCAAAATCTTCAAGCATGATGAAAAAAACTGTTGAAAACTGATTATTTAAGTGAATTTTCTATGTCCAAAGACCATAACTCTGCACAAAATTATCAGACTGGAACAAAATTCCAACTTGATCTGTAACTTGTCATGATAAAACTATATACTAATTATCAAATCAATATCTTCAAGAATGACAAACAAACCTACCACTAAATTCTTCAAACAATTTACCAAAGAAAAGGAAAAAAAATCCAAAATGTCATTTTGTCTTTTAAAAATCTTTAAAAAAAAAATGAGCTATTTCCCTTTGAACAGAAATCTAATAATTAATAAGTATTTCATCAAAAATTTAATTCTAGGGAAAGGGCTTTAACTGAACAAAGAGAAAAGCTAAAATCGTGAAAATTGAACTTGACCTGAAACTTGTCATGATAAATCAATAAACCAAATATCAAATCAATATCTTCAAGCAAAAACAAAAAAAAGTCTGGAAAACTGATTTGCCCGACTGACAGATGGACAGACAGACAGACACATGGACGGACGGAGTGCAAACCTATAGTCTCCATCGACTTCATCAGTAGGGGACTAAAAAAACAGCAAAAAATGGGCCAAACAATGGGTTACACAATTTTCTTCCAAGATCCTGTATACTAAAATTCTTCTTATACCATATCATTTCCAGAATTAAATATGAGTGTTTGGATTTGAAAACCAAAAATTTATTAAAATTGTTCACAACCATATACTTTTTATTAAGCCTACCTTCCAAAATTATCTCCATTACCCACCAACCCAAACATCATATAATATTCATTATAAAACAAAAATAGTTTTTTCCATTCTATATTGAAACTTTTATCAAAAGACCACTTTTATTTCAAGTCATATATATTAGGGTTATTTGACGTTATCTTATGAAAGCATATCACCATATTTAACAATTTATACCAGCAAACCATCCTAAAATATACCCTAATTGTATCTACTTTTTAATGAGCAATCTGTAGTTGGTAAGATCACAGATATAAGTACCAAATGAAACCACACATTCTGAAGACCTTGAAAAAAAACTTATCCAAGTTAATCATTGTTAATGTAGACACTTTTTAAAACTTTTTTATTTGGCTTTTTTTTTCAAATATTGTGCTAAACAGTTTCTTTTTCATCTTTTCTTTTTCAAAGTAAGTTTTTCTTATACCTTTGCAGAATCTGTAGGAACAGACAATGATTAAACTGAAAGGGAAGACCAATGAATTAGGTTGACAAGTTTGACAGACAATTTTACGTTATTTATTCATTCTTATATTACATTTTTTGTGGTAAAATTCAAAATTTCACTTTTTCTGTCTTAAGGTTAGTATGTATACCTCAGCAGAATCTGGAATTTTTCTAAGGACAAACAATGCTTCAACTAAAACTGCAATGAAATGTGCAGGATTTTCCTCTGGGTTTCCATTCAAATCTTCTTTTATTTCCTTATTTAAATCCATCATTTCTGGAGGTTTCAGCATTTCTGTATTTGGCTCTAGAAATATTTCAAACATTTATGTTGAACTTGTCATAGAATAAAATTATTGATCTTTTCAACAGATAATTTTCCATTGCAGTAATTTGAATTAGAGCAATTTCTCTTTGGCTGCTATGTTGGAGTATAACAAGCTCAAAATCCTTCATAAATCAATCAAATTCAACTTGTTAGAAAAAGTAGTTTTCTAAACAGTTTTCATTTGTTTAAGCCCTGTATAAATTATCACTACTATCTAGGATCATTTGTCAGACTTGCTTAGTCAAATAAAAAAATCAACCAGTTAACCCTCACACAAGGTGGCAAAGGGAAATAACTTCAACTCAAATAAAGTCAATGGCAAACTATCTATATATTAAAGTAAAAACAATATTTGATTAAAGAAGGTCAACAATCACTGTTGCATGACTTACTGCACTTAAATACTGTAGTGTAAAAAGATCAAAATATGTAATCTTTTATTTTATATATTTGATATCATTGTTAAAAATTGCCTTATTCAATAAAAAAGGACAATTATTGCACTACTAACTTGTCTGCTTGCATTCTGGGTCAGATAACTGCTTTGTTAGATTACTTCCTCTTCTGTATGATGAAGAACGTTTTAATGAAGCAGACTGATCAGGAACTGCTGCATAAATCTGTTTGTTCAATTCCTCTATCAAAGTCTCATGAAGTTGCTAAAGATGCAGAAATTTGTAATTATCAAAGGGTTAAGTAGTTAGACCATTGTACATGATATTCTTTACTATAAAGTAAATGTCCACTTTTATGTAATCATCATCTTTACTTTTTTTTTTATAAATAAATAAATAAAATTGATTTTGTAAAACAGAAAATGAAAGGCGATGGATGTGATAAACATAGCATGGTCACACGAAACTTGATAAGAAATCTCAAGATACTCTGATTCCTATTTCCTGAGAAAAATGCGACGAAAATTTCATGGTTCTACAGAAAAAGAGGATAAGCAGTATACCCCTCCCTTGGATCTGGAATATAAGTTTACCCTAACAATGAAGTTTGAGTTCAGTAAGTAAGTAACTTATCTTGTTTCTTCAATGCTTAGGTAACATTACTATTAGCATAAGATATTTATAAACTTACTTCATTACGAGCAATCAGTTCAGCTTTCAGATCTCTAAGAGCATCAATCCCAGCTAATGGCTTCTCTAATTTAGCAACTAAAAAAGATTGTGATCTACATTTTGACTAGATGAAACATATCTTGAAATTATAAAAAACACATGTTTTTTTAGTACTTAATAAATGGAATAAAAAATAGTTCAAACCATTCAAGTCATTAACCTAAATAGCATACCCTTTTTAAAGAATAAGACAATATCTAAATAGAGAAAATTATTTAAGCTGGCTTTATCTTAGAATTCTATTACATGTATATATGATATTAACACATCTCTTATCTGGGTTGTTTTTTGTTTGTTTTTGTTTGTTTTGTTTTGTTTTTTTTATTTTTTTGTTTTTGTTTTTTTTTTTTTTTGGGGGGGGGGGGGGGGGGTTGTTAATGTTAAAAATCTCTGGATAGCCTGTTTTAAAACCAACAGCTGTTCATGAGTCCTTGACAAGTTATATATCATATTACTGAATTGAGTGAAATCTGCCAATTTGGAAATGATCAAAACTCTTTTTCTTTCATTTCTATATCCTCAATTACATTTTTTCCTTTTTTCCTTTAGCCTTACATTCACTTGTCTTCTTTTATAGTCAAATGTTTCAATTGTTTGCTTCAAATCAAACCAGTTCTTAACAGCCTCTGTCATCAGTGATCATTTCAAGTGTGGAAGGTCATAGGTTTTATCCCTGGCTATGTCAAACAAAAGACTTAAGAATTGGTATTTGCTGCTTCTCAGCCAAGCACACATCATTTAAGAGTAAGAGCAAATACTAAAAGGCTCAGAGTCAGAATAATGTGTCCAGGGAGGGTGACATGTCTATCTGTGGACTGTTAACTTGTGAGTGAGCAGAGTGAGCATGTTAAAAATCCTGCTTGTCATGTTGGTCTAGTACAAAGCAGGGTTCATTATTGATATCCCATTAATATGTTCTCATCCTGAATATACATTTAATTTGCCACTGGACATTAAACTGCCACCCATCATCATCAAACCAGTTCCTATTTAATCCAACAAGTGACAACCCCTCTCGTCTCTCAGTGCTTTAGTTCTGTCCTGAAGCTCAAGTCCTCGTTTTTTCCCCTGATTAGCCTAAAAAATTACTGATTAGGTTATAGAATAATCTAAACCTTCAATAAAAACCTCAGTGGATATGAATGAAAGGAAATGAGGGGTATATGTCTATGATACAGCAATGCAATAACAAAAATACTCAAAGACATCTAGAAGTCAACATACCATCTATAACAAAAGACAAATGTCTATTGCTTGTATGTAATGCCAATCTTTAAATCAATCATTTCTAAAAAAAGTTGTAAATAAATTTAACAGAGACCAACAGAGATCAATAATAAAGACTCAACTCTTAACTAAAAGTACAAAAAAAAAACAAGACGCGCAACTAAAGCAACCACTGACAAGGTTCCGGAAGAACAGGTAAATGGAAATGTAGGAAGGTTAAGCAAACTTTGAGTCATATTGGCTTGATCAGATATTTTACACAATGACAGTGTTCCCTTGTTCTTCTTTTATCCTATGTACAAAACATTTTATTTACCTGCATTTACTAGTAGGTCTGTAGCGTGCAAGTAATGCTTACTGATAATAAAATTATCTAACTTTACTGGTACCTCTTTAATAAGTTCCCTGAAAGCAAAAAAATTACATGCAAAGTTAAGTTTAGTGAATTATCATTATCTTACAATAGATTATTGTACTTTTTATGTAAACACCTAAGTCAGCAGCTCTTTTCTAAAAAATAAACTGTTGAGTGTTGACACAGAGACATGTCTCGCCTGTATGTTATTTTGATTGTTTTATAAAAAATCAGTGTTAAAGCTAGAAATTGACAAATGAGAAAATCTGTGATTGAAACTTGGCCTTCAGACCTCAGAATACCAAGGCTATTTTCTGTGATTTCAAAACTGTTCAAACCTTTAATCTTCTTAAATTATCTGTCTTGTTAATGATTATATACACAATATATAGAATATTAGCGTGAACATTGCTTTAAAGGTAAAGAGAAAAATAATCAAAAGTAAAACAGTAAGTCTGAAAAAATGAGCCTTAGAAACTTTCCTTTAGATGGTTCTGGTCAAAACCTGGATAAATGCTCTTATTCTGTTTATCCATAATGTCATTGTCAAAAATGGCATCATGGTAATATTGTCAATTCTAATATAAAGTTCTACGAATGAACAATGACGTAAGAATATCAGGATTCTACGGGAAAATGCAAGAATGTGAAACATGAAAATCTTCAAAACATGGAAATTCAGTTTTCTTTGTCTTTTATATTAAAAGTGTGTTTTATTACAGGAACAGCAAATATTTGCAAGTCCCCATGAATCATTTCTTAATTTTTGCTCATTACTGTGATTAGACAATATTATCAATAGGAAGACAGAATGGGTCAACTTTTCATTAAGTTACTGATAAAGTCTCAGTGAAGGAAACTTACACCTGATCTAATAAAGCTACCATAGCTTTGTGTTCAACTCCTTCAATCCATAATCTTCTCAGTTCATCTCTCTTACAATGTAACAATGTCTTACAACTACTTAAATCTTCTCTAATCTTTGTTATTCTCTCCCTTGAATCTGGAAAATAAACAAAACAAAACTGCAGAAACGGATTCAAAAATTTTTACTTTTATTTCTAGACAAGAGATCATGTTTATCAAAGCAAACATTTTCCATTTTCGGGAAGAAATTAAACATACAGGGTGATGCACACATACAACAGCCAGAAGCTATTGATCATGTTCTCTCATCTAACACAAATTGGAAAATATTTCGAAATAATTAAGTAGGCAGGACTACTTGTATCAATTATGGACTACATATTACCTAAAATTACTAGGTAATTTGGACAAACACTAAGGGACTGTCAGTCTTTTACTTTTTAAAAATATTTGCCTGAAAACTAATGACAGAAAACAAAATGTTCCTACAAAGCCTATAATATCAGTTCTCTTCATGAAACATTTAAATTATTGTAGTGTGTGTCAAAACTATTTTAAGATTTTTCAGCCACTGGCCTTCTCTGTTATCCCTGAAAAGTGTCCATAGTGTTATGTTTCAAAATTATATCAATAAATAAATTTAAAAAGTTGTATCATTCTAAAACTGGCGACGTACATTTGCAACAATTTGAATTTTGATAGGTATTACATTTGTGCCAACAAATGGTATTACGTTTGCTCGAATTTACCTGTAATTTACCTGAGTTTTTGTCTGTGTTTATATTCTGAGAATATCCTGAACTAAATGATTTATTTGTTTAAAATCAATAATATTGACAGATAATTTATATAATCAAAGAAGTCTTTCTTCGTTCATATAAACATTAAAAAGCACTTCATGTATCAGTATGTCAAATAGCAAAGTTTTAAATAAAATACAGTTTGTCTTTCCTGGAAAGGAACATTCTAAGTACATGAAGTATAAAAACCTTATTCTGAAATAAAACACTGTATGTTATCTTGATGGGAGCAATATACAAGTCAGTTCTTGCTGTTAAAAGACTCTGGGCCATTATGGGTATGTTTTTGTGCTTCCATTTGGAACAGTTCATGTTTTGGCAGAATTATAGACTTACTGGTGACGTAATTTTCAACTATGTAGTTGGCAAATAGTTTAAGGCTTTCATTCTCAGTAGCATTTGACATTAAATCATCTACACAACTGCCCTAAACTTTCACGCTGGAAGGACTGACAATCACAAATACTGGCTGTGTTAAAACCACTTTTCTATTTCAGTTGACAAATTTTTAATCATTTTTTTATTAGAAAATTTAATTAATTCGAGCAAATGTAGAAACTTTTCAACAGGTAAATTTGTGCAAACGTAATGCATTTTGTCGCGCAAAAATGGAAAATTGTTCAAGCAAACCATGTAAATGTAACGCGCCAACTAAAACATGTAAAAGGCTACAAATACAGGCTTTATCATATATCACAGGTACTGTACTTGTCAGAAAAGTAACAAGCTATATATGGGTAAAGATAACTTGCTTTTCCTGATTCATTCTGTAAATAAAATGTATCCAAAAGTATGCTTACCATTTATACATTTGCTCATCCTACTAAAATCTTGTGTAACTTTGGTAAGATCTTCATAGTGTGCTGAAAACGTGAAAAAAAGTTGCAAATGAGAACTTACTACACATTTTAATATAAGCATTTTTTTTTAATTTAATATAAAACCTACTTTTTTCCATGATGCTATAAACCCACAAAACAAAGACTGGTTTTCTTTAAAGTAAAGTAATACTATCATTCATCAGATAATAATTACTAATTTTATTTTATAAATTAAATATCCATACCTGTAACTAATTCTCCCAATTTCTTGTCACTCTGTTTGTATGCTTTGTCAATTCTTGCCTTTTCTTTTTCTCTTTGTTCAAAATCGGCACTGAAAAAAGAGACCTGACATGTGAAAAATGTACAGGTATATTAAAGTTAACATAATTATATAATTCTCTTAAATTCATTAAATTCAACAGTGACGCACATTGTATGATCATAAATCTTTATGTTCTTAGTAATTATCAACGCTTATGATTATACATATTTAAGATTCTTTCATAAATTTCTGCTAGAAATATAAATCTACTTGCATCTTATTTATTAAACATGCATGATGGGTCTGTGGGCCAGAGGCAATCAGTTGCATTAACACATACTAAAAACTTAACAAAAAGAACTCTTAGATTGGTACTATGTGCTTTTTGTCTTTTTGTTAAGTGTTCTTATTATTAGCATTGACCTGATGAGTCAAACCCCTTACAACTGATTTTTACAGTTTCTTATGTTGTGTTGTTACAACACTGTCCCAGGAAAGGGACCAAACATATTTAACCACTCCAAATTCTTTGTGTGCCTGCCCAAAGCCAAGAGCCTATAATCCAGTAATTGTCGTTGGTTGATTTCTGAAATAATTGTTTTCCATTTATTGTTTTAGTCTTATTCAATCTATTGTATTTCTTATTCTCTATGTGAAATACAGCTAACTTCAAAATGGAAATTATATCAGAGCATTGGTTAGATACATGTATCTATTATTTCTATTTTGTGTTTTTGAAAATATTACCATGAAAGCATTATTGTCTGAATCTGTGCATTGAAAATTGTTCAAACATATCATAAGAATGAGTTAATAAAATTACAATCCAAGTTATCTGGTAATGATCATTAAGCACCCAATGGTATTTTACTCTTAGTATAAAAATGTTCAGTACTTACCTGTGAGAGAGTGTTCTTACAATTCTCATCAAAAATTCAGACTGAAAAAAGTGACATTAAATTAATTTTAATTGGTGCAAAGAATTGATAGTGATGATAGTGAAATTCATAATTCATTGACATGAAAACATTTTTACATCAGATTTACAATTACCATATATTTTATTCTAAAAATGGATCAAAGATTAAAATGGCTGGATTGCACAGATTTTTCATAAACAATGTAGAATCATGGTGCATATTGAACATTAAAAATATCAATGAATATGGAAATACAAAATGAAAAAATGTGAACAAATCTTTAAACAACTTCATAATGGAAGGTTAACAACCTAAATAGGTTTTCAAACTCTCTTTGAAGTTCCAAAGATCTCCGTTAAAAACAAGAGTAATTAATCAATCATTGGTAGTCATGTTCAGTAAATTGATGGAAATAAATTGAATTTCTCAGAATATAAAATTAACGCTTTGACTGATTTTACTGATGCTGATCTCTTTTGTCTGATTAAATTTTCAGGTCTATTACAATTGTTTCCTTACTCGTCTTCCTGGTTCAAACCACTCTTGTGCACACTCAATTTTAAAATTTAGCCACAACATGCAAACAAAATTAGTTTCCTCTGTAGCAAACCACTGCAGTACTGTTGGCTTAGTGAAGAGTTATTTTTATCTATGTCATTTATTAGGAACTGATGCATTTGTATAATGTAATACAAATGTAAATGACAGAATTTTGCACTTGTGTTGATGCTATTTTTGTTAAATGTTAATGACATATTTGGTGATAAGTTGACAACTCATTGAAATATTCCCACTTGCACAATTACATCCGTTTCCAATCTTATTCTCTAAAAAATCCAGAGTTCTTGAAAAGTGGTGGTCCAAAGGTTTTGACCACCAAAATTTGGAAAGGACAAACACAATTCTGGTATTTTGCAATAGAAATAATAGAGGACAAGCAGAAATTCTTCAAGAACCACCAGGGAAAAAAGGTTTTGGGAACTCTCAAGGATCTAATCTCAATACTATAGTCTTTTCTATAGATCTATATCAGCATTATTGTACATGTACTATATAAAATAGAGGTTTATGGTAATATCTATTGGTTCTCTGGTTCTTATCGAGTTCTGTGGAGTTTCCGCAAAAAATGATGGTATTGCTTATCATCAAGGAGGTTATTTTATGAGAAGGAGAGAAGACGATAATTACACATAAAATGTTACCGCCTTTTCTGTAAGTGGGTGTTAATTAGTTGAGATCGACTTGGTCGCAGTGGGAGACTGTGTCCTAATTACACATCCGAGTAAGAACGGAAACAACCGAAGTGTTATAAACCGTTCGAGATTCTACAAAATAAGCCTGAGATCATGGCTCAATTCTCGACAGTATATACATCTTCCTTACGAAAAGTGAAGGTTTGGCCAGGGTCCCAGGCTATGAAAAAATACACACCGGATCTTTTCTGTTGACGTATTTCAGTCATCATTTAATTTGATCATGGTTGCCGATTTATTTATAAGAGATGCCTAAGTGTTGGGACTCGAAAAAGAATTTGATCTAGAAATAATCTGCATCTGCAAGACGAACGACTCAACCAACCTGAATTGCTCTGTAAATGATGTATATATAAGGAATTAAAATTTAAAACAAAATATTAACAAAATGTGCAGGAAAAATGTCCGTAAATAAAGATAAGGCACGCTTTCCTGTCATGGTATTCTTATTAACAAATTGACGTATTTTCCTTTTTTTTTTAAATATTACAACCGTGCATGGCCTGAAAAGAGTATTGATTAAGAAGAAATCTACAAATACCATGTGTAGTGTCCAGGGGAAAAACATTTAGAGAGGTACCAATCTACATGACTGGCAATCCTAGTATCAATGTACAAAATGTATGTGTAAATTTTCTGACATTTTACTGCTTTATTAAGCCAATGAAGTACTGGTTTCAACAAAATCTTAATTAAACTCAGTGTATGACAAGGTATTGATTTGGTGTGGTCACAATTTTCCTTATCACATTTCCTAATTTTTCTTCTTTTTTTTTTATTCCTTTGCTTTCAGTGAGAGCCCGTCAATTTAAAGGGAACCAACATTAAAATTTTAAAAAATAAAATGAACCAATGCAAAAACATTTAATTTTTGTGAAAAAAAACTGCCATGTCCTGATGTCTACAGCATTCCACTCGGAGATTGTAACTTTTTGGTGGTTCTCGTATAAATCCTCTACATGTATTTCAATATTAAAAAATATCGCCCCAGTCACAACCGAAACGGTTATTTTAACAAATGTACCTCACATATTCCTTTTCGAGGATATAACCTACCATTTCCCATTTCCAGGAGCCAACATGGGAAGTGAAAATCTAAGCGCCAATGCCTATATATCTACAGCCTAACGCCATGAGAATCAAACTTTTCGCTGGCTTTGATAAATTTCTCTTCGTTTCAATTACAAATATTCCCTCCGGTCGCAACCGGTCACTGTCACGAAAGTACCTCACATTTTCTTCTATTTTCTATGATATTACCTACCAATTGTCATGGGCAGCGCCATACAGGTGAAGCGAAAATCTTTGTTTAAAGCAAGGTGTGGTTCAATAGAAATTGCAGTCTTATACTTCTTTAAACCCTCATAACTTCGTCATTTCTTAGTCGTTTTTCATCGTAGTTCGACGATATACTTTCGAATTTCTCCTCAAATGATATTGCACAATAAAAACATATTTAAACTGATTTGAATTCATGGTAATGATAATTACACCTGTATTTTAATGACCCAGTCACCGATTACAACCACGTGACATTAGCGATTCTACTAATCACACAGACTGTTCACGGTAACAGCCTGGTACATCAGATGGACATATCAAGTGGATGATAAACATGTCGGTCTCTTTAAATTTTTATCATTTTCCTCTGATTGAATTGCTATCCTGGGGATGCTAATTTTATATCAAGCAGAGTGTTCACTCTCCTTCTCATATATATGTTACCTCCTTGTTATCATGTAGGCTTTCATGTCGATCCGCCCCCAAGTTGATCCGGCCAACTTTGATCTGTCCCAGGCCAAAATTAAAATTAAGTTTGTTTCCCCTTACCCGACCGACCCTCTAAAAATCTGCCGACTGAAATAATTTTTTTCGAAAATCACGTTGTTGTTTTTTTGTTTTTTTTTCGTTTCGCTCAAAAGTTCGTTTTTTTAATTTCGTTTCCTTGAATGGTCCGTATTTTCAACATTCCGCGAAATCATTGTCGCCCGTGTGTTTGCAGCAAAGGGTAAACAACGTATGCAAGGATACTGAAATTGGAATGGAATAATGTTTTAAATAAATGCATCCGAGCAATCTTAACTACTCTTCCATTCTAGCTACGCCTCCAATAACAAAATGCGTAGCGAGAATGGCCGAGTAGTTACGATTGCGCATCCGAGCTCACCCTTGAGCTTAAATGTTAGGCCTGGTGTTTCTGTCGTGTTTGTGGTAAATCCCTGAGTTCGCCTTTATCAGTGGTTGACTCAATAAGTTGTATATTGGCGTGCTATTTATGCTATTTTGTTTCATTTCGTATGTGATATTATACCATACACTAGTTGTCTTTGGATAAAATAGTAGTTTTTTTTTTCGAGCTCAGTATCATATTGTGTTGTGAAAAGTCGAGATGACTATACCAGCTAAATTATGCTTTGATAAAAGTTCTTGTAAGTTCTTATGTCTTTTATAAGCTATAATGGGCTGATGATTAAATATGGTCACACATTCAGGGTTTTGTGAAATAAGATGCCAGTGTTTCATTATTATATTTTTAGTTTCTGTATAGATGGGTTGAATTTTGTTAACATTACTAGCGGTTGCTCCCATTTCGATGGGCTATGTGTTAGCAAGTTTTCCCTTTCTGTATTTTGTGTTTGATAAAAAAAATCGTTGATTTCAGATATTTGATATCCTTGTTTGAGCTTCTTACTGTTTTTAAAGATCAGTTTTGCTGCTTGTGTTTCTGAGATACCTCAATACTTCACCCTTGATAAATCCTTTCAATGAAAACACTTTTTGGGTGTGAGCAGTGTCTGTGCAGATATTGATATGTTTCAGTTGGTTTGATATTGGTTTTAATGTCTTGTATCATACTATGCCTTCGTTAAAGAATCTTTCTCCTTTGTATAATTATGACAGTGTCTAAGAATATTGTTTCATTACAGGAAAATTCGTAGGTGAACTTCAACTAAAAATGTATCATTATCATTTTGTTTCTCTGTGTTGAAAGAATTGTAAAATGTGTTCAAGAATTAACAAACATTGTAAGGTCTGCTAACTCAGCGAATACTGATCCGCACATAGACACACCCAAGGTTTCATGGTAAAGTTTATTGTTAAAAATAAATTCATAGTTTTCTAGAATAAGCCTTAATAGGCGTAGTCATACTCGCTTGGATCACGGTTTGTGGCTTCTAGTATTTCCTTAAATGAAAAACAAGTGTACATATTTTTTGCATCAAATGTTACTAGGTAGCAGTCTCGTTGGGGTTTTATATTTTCAATTGAATTATAAACTATAAGAAAAATATAGAACCGTGTCTCAATTTATATGTGGTCTACTATAAGTCACAAAGACATTGATATTTACAAACATTTTCTAGTCTGAAATTGTAAGGTCTTCTAGTCATGCATATTACGTTATACAGTATGTTGTTTTAGTATCAATAAAGTTCAATTTGTTGTTTTTCTGTGTTTTCCTGTGTGTTAGATATATTTCAGGGATTTTCTCTAAAAAAAAAAAAAAAGCCTACCTACCTACCCACTTCCAAAATGTTGGGTAGGGTAAGGGGAAACAAAGATATTTTTAATTGCGGCCCCAAGTTGTTCCGGCCCAAGTCAGATTTGGCCGATATTTACCGTAAAGTCAATCTGGCCCCAATTTAAAAAAAAATATTTAACAAGGGATAAAAGTTATATATATTTGACTTGTAGTTAATATATTCTAATGAATTTTATAAATTACAACAAAGGTGGACGATTACAAATTGTGCCTTTGTCACATATTTAAGTATATGTATTTGAATATTTGTTTTAAATAAGAAGTTATCAAGAATACTGGATATATGCATAATTATACTCAAAACTTTAGTTAGTTCAATCATTAGTCAACATTATCAGCATTTTTCATATGACTTTGATCTTAATAATCTATTCTGCAATTGGTGTAATTAACACAAGTTGGTTACATACAGGTTGATCACCAAGCTAATGCATGCTAACTTTTTCTTTTAAAAGTTATAAAAACTACTCAAATTGAGAAATATTGTTTGATTTGCCGAATCCCTTCCATAAATAGTTACTAATCTTTTGTATCGATCATCAATACTGTTTCCTAAAAAAATATTCCTCTGATCAGCGAAATTTACACAACTTTTTTATGTGCAAATTGCCACTTATCCTGATCATATAAGTGTGCTTCATAACACTCTCTGACTTTTATAATAACTAATCATTATGTGATAATGGGCTGAATCGACTGGGTGCCGATAGACTTTGGGCAGATTGACTTAGGGCCGATCGACTTGGGGCTGGAACGACCTGATACCATCAGGTATAACCTACAAAGGCTACATGTATCCTGGTTCCCCTTCCTGAAACCCTGCACCTACAATGTACCTCTGAAAACCAATAACACTAGGGATCTTAACAGGTAGCACCTGACTCATATCATAACAGGTCTAAAAAGTTATATAAGTTGCTCAAGTTTGTCTACTATACTCAGAATATTTTGAGGTGTAAACACAGCCATAATTTTTCCCAAATGTTATCAGGTTATGGAAACCTGAATAAACCATTGTATATAAACGTAATAACATACCGTTTCCCTTCCTTTAGAAGATGGAGAAGTTGTTATTCTTTCTGTTTCGTCCATGGTTTATAAATAATTCAAAAACATAAGTAAAACAAGAGGATTTTAGGAGAAAGAAATATATGTGTTTCTGGTTCAATCTTCCGATTACAATTTCTTCCCTCTAACCTGAAGAGGTAAGCAGACCGTCTGCATGGGTGCGTTCGAAATTACGATTAGGTTTAATAAGTAATAGATTTTCTTAAATAAAAAAGTGTCAACATGTTCTTCCAGGAAAGTATTTTTATCTGAAGTAAATTTACTAACTTCTTGAATAAATAGGAACAATGTGCTGAAATTGAATGAAAATGTGGTAAATATCAATGAGACCATAGCAGGCATATATGCAAATAAAGTTCCCTGACTGAGCATAGATATAATAGCCATAGCTATGGCTATTATATCTATGCCTGAAGTCACAAACAACTTCGGATCCCCACTTGAAGCTCTAGATCCACTACTGACGCAATAATTTATTGAATAATAATAATTGTGTCCACGTTCTTTTTGTTATAATGAATAAAAAATATTGAGAAATGTTGGGGGTAGGGGGACGTGACAGTTACATGTGAAATTTTCATGTGAAATTTTCATTTCTTTGGAAGGGGGACTTAAATTCATTTACCTTCTGTAAGGTGGGGATTCGAAAAAAAAATCCTAAGTTTCCTCCCATGTCCCCTCACCCTCCCCCCCCAATGAAAGAAAATGACCGGCAGTTCCATATTTGGTGCTAAAAAATCTTTTTAAAATATACTTTTATATACCTGGATCGTTTTCGCTTCGCTCTGAAGCCCCCACCCCGTATCATACATACACAACGCCCAGCAAGGTGAGTTATAAAAAATAACAATATTCTGTTAAAAAAATTATAAAAACGGGGGACCTAAGATATCCCTCGGTTTTTGGTGGGTACATGTATTCTTCCTGGAATGCACGTCGTTTCGTAACCTGGTCGTTTCGTACCTGGTCGATTCGTAACTACCTTGTTTTGTAACTGAGACGTTTCGTAACTACCTTGTTTTGTAACTGAGACGTTTCGTAACTTTTGTAATTATATATGGTTATAAAGTGTTAGTTTAAATTAATTAGTTTAAATGAAAAAGTTAAAGTTATTATTTAAAAATAATCAAATTGTTCATCTAATAATAACAATATTGTAATATTTTTAATTTAAAATTTTCTGAAATCTTTTTAATTATTGGCTAATTGGCTAATTGGTAATTACACTCGGTGACAGCTTTAATGGATTTATGACAACTAATGACAGGTAATAAAAAGTAATTACAGTAGGTGCAAAGTGATTAAGTAGATTAATGGCACACGACCTATGGCACACGACCTGAAAACAATAATTATTTTCTCCTTTTTTTTCACTTTTACATGCAATTACATAACCCTCCTCCTTTTCACCCGGGCTGGGGACCGGCGTTGGCGGAGTTAAATTTTTTTTTTTTTTTTTTTTTTTTTAGAACACTTTATCTTACTCTATTCTTTTTCCTGCACCCGTTTCAAACAGTCTTTATATTTCTATGTTGTGTTTTGTAGGCAGTTGTTTGTCTTTTCTGCGTTTTTATATTTGCCATTGCGTTGTCAGTTTGTCTTCGACTTATGAGTTTGAATATCCCTTTGATATCTTCCCCTCTCTACATGAATCTAACCAACTAACATATGTGTTCTATTATAGATTAATATGTATACGTATGCAATGTTTAAATAATTCTTTCTTTTCCTTTATACATGTCTTCTCATTGATTTATAAATATGCAATTTATATTGTGTCATCTTGTACACGTTGTGTCTGAGTTTTTTTATCATGTTTTTTGTTCGTCTGCAATATCGAATTTATATATAGAGGATCATAGAGCTAAGCGTTCTTTCTAGAAAATGAAAATTTATACCATATTTTTAGAAAACGAAAATTCAGTGTAAAATCGCTTTTCCGATAAGGGAGCTACCATTTGATTTTTATGGGGGGGGGGGGGGGAGGGGGGCTAGGATGAAATTTGAAAAAAGGCAGGACAGGAGTTTTGAGTAAAAAAAAGGCAGGATGAGCAACTTAGTGGCAAAAAAATAGACAGGATGACAATCTATGTAAAATGGTAGCTCCCTAAAGGTCATTGCGAACACATGGAAATCTAGTTAATTGCGGGAACCCCTGAGGGTTCGCGCATATTAATTAGTTAGAAATATAGTCTATGGAGGAATATTCGGAACCCTAATTATTGTAGCCTGGGATCCTGGCTCATTGCTTGACAGTAGACGAAGTATTAGATTGGGTCAGGATGCCAGGCTATAATTATTGTTCATTCGGAACATTTATATTTCTTATCTGTATTAGCTTCCTGCAATTAAGAGCGCCTCCATACGGATCATTTAAGATATCTAAAACTTGGCAATAAAGAACTTTACACAGATCGCTTAACCTCACTTATATGCTATATTGTAATAAGAGATATAGTTGATAATCTATATAAAAAATAGAAATAGATTCCCATACGAATAATTCTTAAAGAATAATAATGATTTAAAACATTGACACATGTACCTCAGTCTTTCAAAAATTCATTAAATTAATCTAGAAATAATTAATGAGGCATTGAGTAATGGTCAACTAGTAGGAGACATTAATTAATGTTCCTTACAACTGATCATCAATAAGTGTAACTCTACCAAGAGACGCATTGAGAGATTAAATGATCTAATATAAACTAGTATTACTGCGGAGGCGGTGTTAAAGGTTGTAAAACACTTAAAGTTAAAAAAAATCTGCTGGTTGTGATGGTATAACAAACGAAATGATTAGATTGTCATGTGATAAATTAGTTAAAACATATGTGTTAATTTTTAATTTGATATTTAAAAGTGGAATCTTAATTTCCTTCTATATGGAGAGAAAACATCATTAAGCCTAATAATAAGTATATTTAAAGGAGGGTGTTTTAATGATCCTTCCAACAACAGGGGTATAGCTCTTTCTAGCTGTTTAGGTAAATTTTTCTTAAAGATATTATCTACCAGGTTAGAGAACTTCCTTGAAACTAACAATATATTACAAAAGGAGCAAATAGGCTTTAGGAAAAATAGCAGAACAAGTGATCACATTTTAACATTAAAAACTCTGATTGACAAGACCTTTAAAAAATCTAAACATCTATACACTTGTTTTGTAGATCTAAGAAAAACGTTTGACACAATCAATAGAGATGGCCTTTTTTATAAGTTACTAAAATATAATATAAAAGGGTCTTTTTTTAATATTTTAAAAGATATGTACAAAGATGTCTCTTTCTCTGTAAAATTAAAAGAGGGACTAACACAAACATTTCCCTCATGTGTAGGATTAAAACAGGGTTGTACATTAAGCCCTACATTATTTTCATTGTATACAAATGAACTGGTTGAAACGTTTGACCACAAATGTGATCCAGCATGCCTAGATGATAAACAAATGTCTTGTCTTCTTTATGCAGACGATTTAGTAGTGATATCAGAATCTGCATCAGGCCTGCAAAATGCTTTAGATAAATTAAATATGTTTTGTGATAAATGGAATCTATCTGTTAACTTAATAAAACAAAGATTATAATATTCAATAAAACAGCAAAAATTATTAAAAAACACAATTTCTATTATAATGGAAAACTACTAGAGCTGACTGATGAATACAAGTATCTAGGTATAATTTTTAAACCATCTGGATCTTTTACTACAGCATATTGATCAGTTATCTAAAAAGGCTAGCAAAGCTATTTTTTGTATTAGAAAATTATTATATTCTGAAAAGATGAATTTACTACCACATTTAAAGCTTTTTGATTCATGTGTTAAACCTATTTTATTATATAGCAGTGAAGTTTGGGCTACTGTTAGTTTAGTGAAACAAAATACTACCATCGAGTCAAACTATGCAAACTTTAGTCCAAATAAGATTCAAATCAAATTTGCTAAATTTTTATTGGGTGTAAATAAAGGTGCTGTGAATAATGCTGTACTTGCTGAATTAGGTTTATTCCCACTTTTCATTGTCAGCCCTTAAAAATACAATTAATTTCTGGATTCATATCATTAATATGAATAGCGAGAGTATGGTAAAGAAAGCATACAGTGAAAACTTTAACATGTCTAATGGTTTTTGTAGTAAAATAAAAGTGTTATTAGGTAAACTTGGTTTTCAGCATGTTTGGGAAAATCAAAATACTATGTCAAAGACAAAATTACTTTTTTCAGTTCAAAAGAAATTAGAGGAGGAATTCATAAAATCCTGGAAACAAGCTCTTTTTTGTGACTCTAATAAAGATAGTCATGGTAATAAACTAAGAACGTATCGCAAAGTTAAAAATAATTACGAATTAGAAAAATATCTCCTACTGGACCTTAACAAAAATGTTATTTCTAAAATGGTAAAAATTAGAATTAGTAATAGCAAATTACTAATAGAAGTTGGTAGATATACTAGAACACCTTTACAACAGAGAATTTGTCCACTTTGCAAGGATGGAATTGAAGATGAATTCCATTTCCTCATTAAATGTAAAGCGTTAGAATTTAATAGAATTATACTCTTTTGTAATTTAAGTGATATAGTTCCATCTTTTGTTAATATGTCTGAACAAGATAAATTTAGTTTCATTTTGAAAAGTAATGATACTGACATTTGCACTGTATGTGTAGCTGGAATAAGCGATATGTATGATTCGAACATTCATTTAAAGCAAACATAATGTTGTTAAGAACTGTTGTAGTATCAAAGCTTATTGTAATAGCTTGAAGTGATAATATAGTATGAATAACACCTCCACACAATGTAGATATAAAATATGTGTCTCTTATCATTGAGAAAACATATCTCTGTATATTTGTTTTTTTTTTTTTTATTTTTGTCTGTTTTTGTATTTGTATTTTGTAAATGTCAGCTGGTATCATTCCTGTATTGGAATTTACACCAATAAAATTATTTGGTTTGATTTGATTTGATTTATAAAACCATTTTTGTAGAGGCATAACTTTTAAGTTCAAGATACAAAAGATTTCATTAATAAAACACACGAGGTAAAAAGGGAATGCATTCTTATTTCCTATGATGAAATGTAAATGTACACAAATATGATCATTGAT